GCCGATCCGGTGAGGAATCCGGCCCCGTGGTGGCCTCCGCCTGCCGTCTGTTGAGCCAGAGCCGCTGCCAGCCCGGCCGCCTGGAAGTGTTGGGCCGCGGCGGCTGCAGCGAGAGCCAGCTGATGGTGCGAGTGGTGTGCGTGGTGGTGCGGGTGGTGATGGTGGTGACCGGGGTGTACGAGTGGCTCGGGTAGGTACAGTCCTTTCAGGCCCGACTCGCCTGCTCCTCCAGACGTCGGCGTAAAACCCGGAGAACCGACTATTCCCGTCGCCGTCAGAGCCGATGGTCTCACTAACGTCGGCGCTGAAGATATCCCAGAAGCCACCGACGGACTCATTCCGGCGCCTTGCACCAACACACCTGTTGGCGTCGGCGATGATGTCGGTGAAATCGACGGCGATAAAGACCCCGAATGATGCCTTACCCGGTGATAATTACCCGGGGATAATTCGGGCGATGACGAACCTGTCGGCGAGTGTGAGGTCGTCCTGTTGTTTTCTACATTGTTATGACTCGTCGTGTAATGATTCGACGTCGTTGATGATGCGGGGCTTAATGACGGGGGGTTGGGCGATGCGTTCGTGTTTCTGACGTCACATTCTGGTGATTGTGACGTCGCGGGTCTGTGTTTCGGCGGTGTTGTGAGTGTCGTCGTGGCGGCTGTGCTGGTCGGTGTGTTAGTCCCACCTCCTACTATGGAATCGATGGAGAAACCGATTTTGGGTTTGGAAGGAACAGCTACTATTGGCGTCGGTGCGAGAGGCATCATCATTTGTCTTTGTGTCCTCCTCTGTTTCTGTCCTTCGTCTCTCGTCAACGTAGCGGAATAAACGACACCTTCCGGAGCTTAGAAACTTTTCTGGTAGACCATCAATCAGTCCTATTTAGTCTGGGGAAGATCATTTCGATTCACAGAACAGATCTAAATGATTCACTACTTACGTTTTTTTAAAATTTAATATGAAATTACTACACTAGTTTATAAAAATCCAGTCACATACATTTTATTCGTAATCGAAATAAGAAACATTATTAAAAAATTTAAAGAACCACGTATGTCACTGAATGTCACATTAATAACAGATCTCGAGTTTAGAATTCCACTCCGAAGCACCTCAACTCTGCCCCTTTTCTGTTTTCGTACGAGGACATCCACACACTCACGCACAAACGCTGCTGTACGTTAAGGATCAGTTTCCCTCGCTCAGACTATCAAACACTGCGGTACAAGGTCCTTATTCAGCGCCATTAACACCAATTTACTTCTTTCCAAAGCTTGTAGTCTTTATTAACGTGGCACAAATTCTCACTCGGGCCTGTTCGCTAAACGTTCTCAAACAGTTTTGTGAAGTTCCTGCCTCCAAACCAAAGCGATCTCCCTCTGCCAGGCGAGGGGGTGCCTGTGGGGGAGGGGTCACACTATTATGATCTTCCCTCTTCCCCTCTCCTGCCTTAACATCCCGTCATACAGGCTGTGATTGGGTCATTATGTAGACAGCTGGGTGTGATGAGAGTCTAATGGCAAGCTCCTATTGGCTAGTCTGCGCTTAACAAGTGTCTTTTTACACCACTCCCATCGGGGGGAATACATGTTTCTACATTTAGCGAGGTTTTATATTTCGCGATTACGTAAATTTAATACGAATTTAGTACGGTTTATAGTATAACCCTGAAAACATAAATTATATATATGTGTAAATGTATAGTAAACTGTCAGAGATGAATTTATTTAAACATGTTAAAGATGATAATAAGAGAGATATATACATGTGATCGCGAAATTTAATTCTCTTCGCAAAAGTATGAGTTACGTTGTGTACACTTTGTATGCGCCAGCGCGCACATTTGTCCACAAATTACTGTGTGTCAGAAACGCTCAATCACTCCTGTTCTTTGTTGAAAACTCCCCTCCCTGTTTTTAAAGCACGTCTTCATGACTGTGCTGCCGTCCTGGCGGTGAAAAATGGAAATAGGGGTGGATCTTTACAAATATGGCGTCCATTCACGTCGTCCCAGCATCTGTAATGCGAAAGTTCATTGTGTTCTGTTGAATGAAAACAATCCCTGACTTACACTGACATCTGCCGAGCCGGTTTTGGGTATCCCAGCTGGAGTATTCACGCTTTGTGCGACCTTTCGGTAAGTTAATATTACATAATTACGAGCATTAAAGCCTGTACTCATTGCCTCATAGCAGAAAGCTGTTTCAATTTATCGATAATAAGCTCTTCGTGTGGGAAAAATATTAATTCTGACATCACATTTTTTCAGAACAAGAAAAGAACAGTTTGAAACATATTCACACTACGGAAGGTTTTCACATGCCGCGGTGGGCTCTGCTGAATGCAGGGGACGTGTTGTTCGTGGTATCATAGGGCAATGGTATTCAACCTGGGGTACGCGTACCCTCGGGGGTACGCGAAGACATCTTAGGGGGTACGTGAAATTTTAAAAAAAAAATATATTATTTTATGATAAACACTGAATAATCAGTAATGTAATTTATTTAATTTATTTTAGATGTAGATTATATACTATGTATAACTTGAATTATACACCAACAACTTTGGGGGTACAAAGTTGAAGAGAAATTACATCTGGGGGTACGCGAACAAAAAAGGTTGAATACCACTGATATACATGATTTAGAGCTTGAAAACTTTATCCGTAGGAAATAACACATAGACCACCAAGTAAGGAATGGATCATACTATATATTTAAATTATGTATCCGCATATGGACCTAATCGATTTTGGTCAATTAGCAGTTAATTAATCGCCGTGAGAACATCAAATCTCATTTAGTTGAAGGAAAATAGGAAAGCCAGCCGGAGCTTCAAGGACTGGATCGGAAAATTATGGAGAACCTAGCGTTAGAGGCGCCACCTGAACATATAGATTCTGTTAAAGGGAGTGGCAAAACCTAGGAAAATATTAAGCGCTGCCCCATCTACGATTCGAACTACGAACCTTCCGAATTCGACATGGAATCGTTACCGCTTAGGTAACCTGCTCATTGTCTCGTCTCAGCCATCTGGATTTTTCATTGCGTTCGTCGCATTCAGGGATAAAGGAGGCCAGAACGTCAGGCCGTCAAATCTGTTTAGACCAATGCTTTAGACCAGCGTTTACCAACCTATGGTACGCGAACTAAGTAAGAAGATCAAACGTTAATATTGACATAAATAATAGTTTTTACTGAACGTATTTGGTTAGTGGTACATTTAATGTGTTAAATTATAATTAGTGGTACGTCAGAGATAAATGTTGAGAACCTCTGGTTTAGACCTTGTATGCAGGCTACTTCTTCGATTGACAAACACTATACACAGGAGTAATTTTATTTATTTATGAAGACTGTTTATTTATTTATACATAAGGCTGCATAATACACGCATTCATCGGAAAATCTCAACCAAAGTGAAATTCTGTGTGGCGATACACGGAATTAGAGACGTCATCATTCTATATATATGGTGTCCCATAAGTTGCCGTGTCTTTCTGGAGTATTCGAAGTAAACAAGACATGGTTACTAGTCCTAGGTAAAGCATTGCAGAACTTGAGATTAGAAACACAAGATTTATAGCAACTTTCTCTCTTTATATTATTTCGTAATTAGCCAAATAACAGAATTTTCCTATGACCCGGAACTTATGAGACAGGCTGTATTAGCCGCTGTCGTCCTCAACAACACGAACCTGCAAATTCACCGGCAATGAACGCGATCAAATGACTGTAATCAGGACGTACATGCCAGTCCGTGACGGAGTTACAAACAGAGGAACGTCGGAGAGGAGGTATTGAGGTAAGAGGCGGGAGGAGAGTGGTACAGTCACTTTCATTACACGTTCTGTTAGAATCACTTAAGAAATAAACTTTTAAGTTATTAATTGGATTCTTGGATGAGAGTATGTTATCGTTGATGTTTTGGATAATTTCATTCACAAAACTTCCGCGTTATGAATTTAAGACAAGTTAATAGATTACCTCTCTCCCCGCGTACTGACATCTAAGAATGTTTCTCAATAAAATAATCAGTAGGCTGTAAAGATGAAGGCCTGTCTTATAGGTCTAATTAGTTGATTTGTAAATTCCTTTTCTTGTTCGCCTTTCTACTGCTCTACGTTCATTAGCCTAATTACACAGATTCGAAGTCATGATCTCTCCTTTCGTTATCCCTAAAAAGGCAGCGATATTTGATAGGCGTTTTAACCAAACATCTGTTGAGATTAGTGTTATTAATATGTTTGTCTGCACCCTCAGTCATCCAAAAACTTAAAACTTAAAACAAGGCTACGCAAAACTCAAATTTTTTGGGGTGTGAAACTTTACCTGTCACATTAAGGGAAGATCACAGATGAGGGTGTTTTAGATCGGGATAAATGTAATCCTTAATTCACATTAAACCCACAACACACAGGAGTTTGATAAATATTGACCATCGTTTCAGAATAGCATAATTCAATTTTCTTTACTCTCCTATATAATGTAAATCGAATATTTCGATAAAGAACATCATTTAATATTTTAAATATTTTAAATGTTTTAAATGTTCAAAATGTTAATTATTGTAATATTTTAATATTTAATAAGAATTATTGTGATTAGACGGACAAGATTTAATATAGACTTACAGAAGTTTGCCGACGTTTCGGAGGTGCTTGCTGCCCCATCATCAAGGCGAAAAACACTTCGTGTGTCCCGATTATCACGAGGGGAGGTTGGGAGAGCCTATTAAACGGGGGTGAACCAGATAATGATTTAATTTCATTATTTTCACTGCAGTAGCTACGTGCGTGTTGGTTTGCTTTATAAATTGCGAATACTGTTGTTACCCTTCGGCTCTAAAGGGTCAGTATTCCTCTTAGAAATGTTTCATTAACCACTTCACCGAAATGTACTCGTATGGACTGCGATAGACAGAAACAAGTGCATCTAACTTGGGGTCATCTGCTGAAACCAAATGGGCGTGCGTTTTAGGGCGCATATAAAACGCTGTTTATGACAGGAATTTGGGGCTCCTCATACTCTGCTATGGCGCTCCGTTGTGCGTATTAAGGCGAGCCAGCGGGATGATGAGAGCGCCTTGAGAAAACCGAGTTCCAGTTGGTCCTCCTCACTGCAGTACCAGTTGTGGTCTTATGGATTTTAGTGACGCGTGGCCTCGCAAGTGGCCATGAACGCTTCAGGATTTAACCCTGCAGATGGAGGCAGTACGGTATTACAGCTTACCTCTCTGTCTATGTGTCGAGAGTCTAAGAATAATCTTGCTGTTTTGAACTTATGAAATTATAGATTTTGTTTTTCAGCAGATTCAGATCCACTAATTGCCTATCGGATTGCAATTGAAGTTAAAATCTGCTCTTGATATAGTAATAGCCGTTGCCTTTCGTGCGATGCGGGGGGGGGGGAAATATTAAAATAATTTCTGACGGTGTCGACTCTGGTAGCAAGAAAAGCAAACGAGGTCATAGTAGCGCCTGTGGTGGGGTCTGGCGGAGTCTGGAGTCAGGCGGTCGATTTCGTGTTGCTGCATTTGGTAGAAATCTGTCTTCAGTCGCCGTGAAGATGTTATTCACATTTGACTTATACTTCATAAAAGACGTAATTTCAATGCGATCTGCAAAAATGTTACAGATATAAAGTGTATTACTCTTTAACACAAGAAAGGCTAATTACCGTCAAGTTCGACGGGCCCTACTGCCTGCATTATTAATATGCCTTCCTTGTAGGCTTATTTTCTATAGTGAAATCAGCTTATCTGGGTTTGCTTTATGTGGTAATGGAGGTTAAACAGTTCATTAGTAAATCAGGTCTATTTGGTTACATACAAATTTTGAAAGACAACGAAGAGAAATGACCACGGATTTGTGTGGCAACTTTTCATGGTGAAAAGAAATTGTCATTTTGAAGATAAGGAAGAGATACGAGTCTAAACTGTGACAAGGATTGATGGACACCGTTTGTTGTCAGTGCAGTTGAACAGACGGAGATGGAAAGATAAAATTGCCCTGAAGCTCAGACTGCTTAGTCTATTGTTTTCATAGTTCATCATTGCCTTTCGTATTGGCGAAACATCGATCACCATTCCCAAAAGCCTATTGTACCTATTTCTGTATGTATAAGATAACAGTGCGTTAATACATATTTCTAAAATTGTAAACAGCCGTATTTGGTGGCTGATAACTGCTATGTCTACAAATTCCCCGGTCGCTCTGCCCCACTGGAAAGGACCCCCAGTTCCCATCTTGACGCAGAGGCTAGAGAGAGAGCTTCTTTGCCCTTGTCGGTGGTCGAACCCCTTTCGTCCAGTTCACGAAACACCTACTGAGATGCAGTATGTCTAGCGTCCCCTCCACACCCCCTATACGCCTTAAATGCTGTTCTTGGGCCCAGGAGTGTGTTGACGCAGACTGCAGAAGGCCTCGTCGTTGTCATTTGGTTGTGTAGTAGCGGGGGGCAAAATGGAATGCTGGCGATGTCGGATGTTGCTGCATTGTCCTTCGTCCACTTGGCCTACCTGTGACATCGATCTTGCCTTCCGATCGTCTTTTTCAAACATCATTAAGCATCGCCTTCCGAACGTCAAGCGTCTTTTATTTGTCTCAACGTGCCTTCCTCTGACATGGTAGTTCACCCACCCCTCCCTCCCGTCATAAGTGGATCTTTTTTCTTTGTATGGATTCTACATCATCATCATCATCATCAGTACTAATCGCATTAGACAATTTCGATTCAGAAGTTCGTCTGCCCTTCGGTGAAAATGATAGCACCAACTCGTCTGATATGCCACTGTTTCACTCATTTCATTCCTCGTTCGCTGTTTGCTTTGTGACGTGTGAAATGACAAATTGCGTTCCGGTTTGTCAGTGAACGTTTAGGTTAAGGTAGTGAAAGTTATGGATAACTAATTCTGCATTAAAGTTGGTAAAAACGCTTAGGCTGACAGGCCTATTACGTTCTATGCTGATCAAGTACCAATGACGGAGAAGATCAGAAGTACGTAATATTTTCGTCGGAAAATAAAAAGTTGTCAGTGGAACCACAGTTCTGGAGAATTTGACGTAAATACGTCTATACGGAAAGGAAGTTTGTATATTGGCTTTATTCTAAATATTTCCTTTATACATGCTTTACAATTGAGTAAAGTTTGATTAAGACATTGCTTTTTTAACTTGAATTACTTACGCTTAAGATGGGTTTGTGGTAGATGAATGTAATGTAAAGTAATGTATTTATTATTTATTTAGTGTTCTGTCTGCCGACAGGTCCATATGAACAGGATCCTTCCACCCTTTTCTCGGACTGGGAATTCGTAGGTAACAATAATGCCGAGTAAATAATTGACGTTTCCAAGGTAACATAACAATGCAGTTACACTTTTTCGTTCCACTTTTTGCCGAATGACACTGACCCTAAAATATAGACGTATTTACGTCAAAAATTTTTTTGGAAGAGTCTGGGCGTGAAGGTGTGACCTGGGTACGTTTGGCTCGAGAGAGGGTCCCGTATAAATCTCATGGGCACAGAAATGAACCTCTGGGTTCTGTAAAAGCCTGGGAATTTCTTGATTAAACGAAGGATTATTAGCTTCTCAAGGACTCTGCTCCATGAAAGTAGTTAATGTACCCAAGGCATACAAAGCGCTGAAGTGTTCACTTGGTTTAATACGATTTTATCTATGCGACCAACTTGTAATCGATATTTCCTCATTTCGATTAGCCTGTTTACATTATTATAATTCTTGCCGTTCCAGCCATTATCTGTGCTTAATTAATCTATTAGGTCATAATACTTGTAACGCTTTAAATTTATATTTTGGAGGTGCCTGGTTCAAATCTCGGCATGGTTACAGTCTTTCACGACGTAATTATTCAAGACTCTTTTTCACTCTCCATCTGGATTGTGTTGCAATACATGCAGACATGCAAGGACCACATCCTTCCAAAATCCTTACATTCTTGCCATTCATGATTATCTACGTCTCCCATGAATATGTTCATTCCTTCATCCTGGGAACAGTTGCTTTGAAATTTCTGGATTAAGAATTTGATTTTGACACCTCAGTCCCTTAACCCCCCACCCGCCAAGGTAACGCAACGCACGCGCGCTCTATCGCATAATGTATGAATGTCGATACAACTTTTCAGGGAATGGCCTACCATCTGGCGGACAAGTAACACACTGCTTGTAGCAAGAAATTTTGATGTGACTCATCCTTTATTGGGCCCACCTATTTTCTTAAGATCATTATTTTATTTCAATCTATCTGTTAAGGAAATTGCTAGGCCATTTGTTTAATACAACTTATACATATAAAATCTTAGATTACAATCATTGATGAGAATGTAAGTTGCTCATAAGTAACTAATTTCATCTGTTTAAGCTATGCAATATATTACAACGAAAATTAAAACTCTTTTGGTTAAGATATATTAATATCTGTTTGTCTTTCTACAGTCTGATGTTAAGAAATGTTATGCAATAAACGGCATTTTAATGGTACAACCTTCACATCGTTCTAGATTCCATGTATTCAGTTCAGAGAACAGAGAAAAGCATTCAACTGTCAGATCTTCTTCACAGAAATACGAGCTCCGGTGTCAATTGTTACTACCACTACTGCTGTTCTTACTCCTGTTTAATTTAGAGGTTAGTAATTGTTTTATCTGAAATATATTTATTCAAACCGAATTAACTATGATGTACATGTTTTCATATTAACACATTAAAGATGTCGTTATAGGAGGATATTATATCTACATTTTCCAATGTAAATTTTCGAATATTTATGTCTCTATTATGAAATATGTTGCGAAGTATCGGAATCAATTTTATTCTTTTTTTATTTGCTTTGTACTTTGTGCGGAAATAACTGTTTGGACTCTCGGCCTGTGTGTCCCGAATTTCTGGTTTAAAACTAATTGTTGGGTATTTCGTTACAATGCTGTGTTCAAAGTACATAATGTGAAGTTATTAAGAAACGTTTTTAGCTGATCCTCTGTCCACCACGCGTACAATTTTTCTAATATGAAAAATTCCAATCGTTGGACTGGGCCAGTTTTTAAAAGATTCTCTTATTCCAAGACATTAAATTGGAATGACTGTCATTCATTTTATTTAAAATAACCTCATCGTCATATTCTAAAGCACAACTATTAACACTTAGAATACCCAATAAATTTATAGGTTAGTTACTGCCTGACAAAACAGGCTCAAGTTTTAGGAGCGCAGAAATGCTCCTACTAGCTTCGCCACGGAGAAATTTACTAAAATTTATCAACACATTCCATTATTGATTAAAACTGTTAAGTTATATGTAACAAATTTATCGTTACCTGGAATCTGCACTAGTGATAAATGCGTACAAATGGATGCCTAAATAATGCCATTGTTATGCATAGTTCATGCTGTCTGAATGATAGTTGTTCAAGCGGTGAACGTGTCGATGTTGGACTTCTGGGCTCCAACGCGGAGTCGACTACGAGATAGATGTAAACGTTTCGGAGGAAAATGTACCCTCCATCTTCAGGACCAGAACACCAACATCGACAGTAACGATAATGAGTTATTTTTGTCAGGGATCGACAGAAGGACAGAGTCTTCTCTAAAACATTCCACATGTTCCTTGAAAACAATTTGATGACGTACGTTTTCGCTGTTTAAGGGTCAGATTTTAAAATGGAAGCTTCGCCGATCTTATCTAGCGGTAGAGGTCAGTGTCTAGCGTCTTTGTCGTCCTCGTGCACTGATGACACTCGTGCACTCGCTGCAAGTGATGGAGATAATTATCGGCAAGGAGACGGTGATGCGAGCGAGGAACAGGGGTGTCACAGATGTGAGCCACCGATACATGCTAGTGCAAATATAAAACACGAAACTGCTGAACGAAAGCAGTGCGAGCAGCACATGCAAAAGATATTGCAAGAATGCGAACCACAGCCAGGAAACGAACGAAACAGATGCAGCACGGCTACGTCACCAGGGGACTCAGCTTACGTCACCGTCGTTGATGAGACGGTAGCAGCTTTGACGTCACAGCCTGAGGCTAGCACAGGGGGCAAAGATCATTCTCGTACAGAAATAACATTTTCAGATCAGTGGAATGAGGCCTCATATGATTTATCTCTTTCTGACGATACTTCTCCGTCTCATGACGTCAGCAGAGGAATTTCCGGTTGTCTTCGATCAGGGCTGACTGGAATTAATACAAGGGCTGAAAATGTGACAGATGCGTGTATAGAATCAAAGCAGATTAACGTGGTGAAGAATGACAACATTCCAGTAATTGATACATCACCTGAGACTGTATCAGGAAAGTCTGATCTGACTAACGAGGGTGAAATGCTTGTAGTGACTGGAAAAGTTCAAAAAGGAGTGATTTCGCACCAGGGGGTTAAGAAAAAATACCTTGACTCCACATTAGTGAATGATGAAGTGACTGAAACTAACAAGATAAAACTTGAAGAAGACGAAAAAAGACAAGAGGTACTAAAGCCAGAATGTCCAGTATGGCAGATATTAAAACATTTTGAATGTCCTTTCAAATGGGTACCAGATGTGTTCATCAACAGAAGTCCTAACAGTGTAATTCAAGAAAATATCATCACTCATCTGGCAGGTGAGTGTATGGATATACTCGTAATAGCTACAATTTTATTAACTTTTCAGTTTGTAAGATAACCAAATGCATTATTGGAGTCTGTAATGAGTATATAAAGTGTTAATAGGTACAGAATTTTAATGATTATATAATTCAGTTGAAAATATGTATGAAATATAATTTCCTTTATTAAACTCGATCATATTATGTTATCATAACTCTTGAAGCCAAAGCTGATCCAATTAACATTTAAGAATTCAGTCTGTACTTCAAAGAAAACACAATCAGCTGGTTACCACTGTTTAAATAAATAATAGGTGTTTATTCTGAGAATCATATGGAACATTTAAGTACAAAATTAAGTTATTGGTTATTGAAACAGATGGAGGCTTTAAAGGGTTAAGGTCATAATTTGAAACATGTGCTTTATTTTAAAAGTTTAATTTTAAATTATAATACCATTTTTATTATATTTTTTCATGACAGAAAAGGAGAAAGAGTTCTCTCAGACCAAGTGCAGCGTTTTCCGAGAAGTTGTCATATACCTCGTGTTGGTTTACGAAAAGACTTTGGACGATCGCTTCATGGAAGCCATTCTGGATTTACAACATTGCTACAAGCTGCTGGGTAATTCTCAAACTATAATGTCGTGTTCCGAATCCAGTAAAGAAAATATTGATGTCAACTTGGTTAAAGGAAAATACCATTTAAATGAAATTAAACACAAAAGGACAAATCCATTTGATGAGGATGACAAAATGTCAAATATATTAACACTTCAAAAACCTACTTCAAGGGGACAGCATAGATCTCTTAATGTTGAATTATACTGTTCAGAATCAGAAACATCTGCTCAGCGAGCCGCTCAAAAAATTGTTCCAGATAGTTGCATCTCAGATTCCGGAAGAAATGACGTCAGTATGGGATCATCTGATGTAGACGCTAAATGTGTCAGTCATGATAGTCTTAAGAATCAGGTCATGGATTCCAAATCATTTACTGTAAATGGTAAAGAAAATCCAGAATTGATTAATGATGTACTTATTTGCAATGAAAGCGAGGAGGAAAAAGAAGAAAGATTGGACAGTCTGAAGCTTCAGGTAGATGTAGTTCGAGAGATTGGATACGATGACAGTGGAATAGAAGCACCTAAGAAAGAGAAGCCTACAGGAAATGAGAGCAAGATAGGGAGACAAGAACAGAGGCAGGCAGCGTTGGAGTATGTGATAAATGCGACACTAGCTCATGTGGCTTACTTTTCAGAGAGTAGCCAAGAAGCCTACGACCTTGCAAAACATATTGAACACAAGTGAGTATGCATGTTTATTATTTATAATCTTAGAGACTAATTTGTAAAATAATCAATCTGTTCTGAAGTAAAAAAAGAAAAAATTGTCATTGAAGTTTCCTGTCTTCTGGGTTGTTGCGCTGTGTAGTCTGGTAGATGTTAACCAACGTTTCAGAGGTCATACTGCCTCCATCATCAGGGCGATGAGTATGAAGATTTCTGTCTTCTGGGTTGTTGCGCTGTGTAGTCTGGTAGATGTTAACCAACGTTTCAGAGGTCATACTGCCTCCATCATCAGGGCGATGAGTATGAAGATTTCTGTCTTCTGGGTTGTTGCGCTGTGTAGTCTGGTAGATGTTAACCAACGTTTCAGAGGTCATACTGCCTCCATCATCAGGGCGATGAGTATGAAGATTTCTGTCTTCTGGGTTGTTGCGCTGTGTAGTCTGGTAGATGTTAACCAACGTTTCAGAGGTCATACTGCCTCCATCATCAGGGCGATGAGTATGAAGATTTCTGTCTTCTGGGTTGTTGCGCTGTGTAGTCTGGTAGATGTTAACCAACGTTTCAGAGGTCATACTGCCTCCATCATCAGGGCGATGAGTATGAAGATTTCTGTCTTCTGGGTTGTTGCGCTGTGTAGTCTGGTAGATGTTAACCAACGTTTCAGAGGTCATACTGCCTCCATCATCAGGGCGATGAGTATGAAGATTTCTGTCTTCTGGGTTGTTGCGCTGTGTAGTCTGGTAGATGTTAACCAACGTTTCAGAGGTCATACTGCCTCCATCATCAGGGCGATGAGTATGAAGATTTCTGTCTTCTGGGTTGTTGCGCTGTGTAGTCTGGTAGATGTTAACCAACGTTTCAGAGGTCATACTGCCTCCATCATCAGGGCGATGAGTATGAAGATTTCTGTCTTCTGGGTTGTTGCGCTGTGTAGTCTGGTAGATGTTAACCAACGTTTCAGAGGTCATACTGCCTCCATCATCAGGGCGATGAATGTGCACCGCTGAGAAAACCTCAATTCTTACAAATTGTTATTGAATTATTACTGTAAAACTGTGCTACAGTAGCGTACACATATTAAAGGTAACATGCCAGATGGGTATATCAACAAAATAACTGATTTACAGAAAAACAAATTCTTGTGCTCATTTGGTTTGACAAATGTGTAGTATTAGTTTTCATACTAATAGTGTCACCTGTTTAATTACTGTGTAGAATGCCTTTCTGAATTAGCAATGTTCTTATCTGTCAGTTGCTACGCTTATCCCAGTTCGTAAGGTGTGATATCTTAATCTTGAATCAATATTTTATGTTGCCTTTACCTATATTTTAATTTAATAATAAAATATATGAATAGTCACTATCACCTTCTTGATCCCAGATTTATGTTTGTACAAATATTAATTCTAATTATTTGATTAAAACCTGGATTCAGTTCTTTCTCAGGATCTTACTTTAGCGCCAGCATTCAGACATATGTGGTACATTTATTCAGGTATGAACAGCTTGGAGATGCTGGCAAGGCGACGGTTGCTGCCGTCAGAGGGGCCATGCTCTTTGAGTATGGCTACACAGGAAACAAGTTGGGCCTTCAGTTTCTGCAGAAGGCCCTTGAATTAGACCCTGAGTACTGGGAGTGGAACCTATACTGTGGGAAGGTGATGGGAAGAATTCGTCAGGTTGAGAAGTACAAAGGAGGACCACCGGAACGAGAAGAGGTTTGGTGCATCTTAGGCTTTCACGCACAAAATAAAAATGCAGCGGAATACTCCTTGAAAAAACAGTACCCATTTTCTTTATACTCTTCTGAATTCTTTTAATTGAACTTATCAAAGAATTATTTATTCCGAAGCACTATGCAGAAAAACCGTAGGACGCAGTAACGCTTTCTCCTGGTATCTGCTGAAAGGAACGAGTAAGTTGTAGTATTCGCATTATATTTATCTTTGGTGCCACATTTCACACGCTGTTAATAATCTACCAATTCTCATTGTACTGGTACATGAAAGGTAGATTAAACAGTGTTTTAGTCATTTTTGCCACCAGAATGTTTTAAAGACCTCAACATCTTCCAGGTGAGTCTTCTGGAAAAAGCAGCTCAACTTAATAGAGAGGATGCATCTGTTTTGGTGCACTTGGCCAACGTGTATCGTGGACTGTCCTACTTCAGATATGCAGAGAAGATGGAAACTGAAGCAAAAGGGGATTCAGTCGTAGGGACTCGACATTATATTCGTAATGCGGGGACTGCCAACTGGAGAGGAAAGTAAGTTTAATTCAGTGGGGCTCAGAATTGTTCTGCACACCTCAAGAGGGGATTGAAATAAAGATGTAACTCAAGACAGGTGTGTGGACACTTTAGTATTTCTATGAGAGGTGTATTCTGTCTTTAATTAGCTTTAAAGTCAACTCAACTTTACTCATTATATGTAGTGCCAACACATTTATAAAAATAATTGGGCATTCTATGGTACATATTTCAAAAGTACAGGACCTTAATGGTTAAATTTAGTTTCTTCTCAAATTTGTATTATCCATTGTAAGTAGTTGGTATCTGTAAATAAGAATTACTGCAAAAGCTTTATTATATGAGGCTTAAATCTTTACTTTAGATGTTTATGCCCCACTTAATGGTACTTGCACCTTGTCGTGGTGGTGGGGCTGAGTACCTCAGTGACCCCAAGAGCTACTGGTAGGGCCTTCCTAGCCAGGTTGGTCGAGGGGGAGAGGTCAGACTAAGACAGGTACCCTGGTCCTCCAGGTTGGGGGTTGGTCGCAAGGCTAACAACCTTGCACCGTAAAAAGGAACCTCGATCGATGCCTCGGACAGACGGACATAACAGAGGATCGAATGGAAGAGGAGAGGAGGCCATAGAAGAAGAAGAGATGTTTATGATGTGATTAAATTAAGCAATTTCATCAATAATGCACAGTTTAGCGTGCTACCATGTGGCACACAAGGCCTTCGAAGGATACAGTTATTATTTCTTACCAAGGTACATTATTCTGGTAAAGGTTAACAATATCTTTCCACCTTTATCTGTAGTTGGTTACGACAAGGGCATTCTCAGCAGCAAGAAGAGAATATGAACTGTTTACAGAGATGGCTTAATCCTCAGCAAATACCCATGCCACGCCCAGTTACCCCCTTGAAGGCAGAACAACGGGACTATCTGCAGTTAGCGAAACAACTGTTCCTGGAAGCATTAAGGATTGAGCCACACTGTCCTTATAACAATGCAAGGTGTGCCAAAGGATTGTGGTCCATGCCTGTTCCGTACAAAGACAAGGAATGTGCGAAACAAGCCATCTTACATGCTCTCACTATGGCACCCGATGATTCCTTGGTAAGAAAAGTAATTATTAAACAGATATTTCATATTGTCTTATTTCAGCAGTTGTATGGGTCCTTGCTGCAACAAGTCCTTTATATTCTCTCAGTTGTCGGATGTTCAGATATTTACCATTTTTCTTTCTTATAATAGTAATGTAAAGCTCGGAAAGTGTATTGTATGGATGTTAACAGCGTGTAAATGAAACGTAATATTGTGAAAATTGGAAAAGGACAAGTAATATGCCACTTAATGTAGTTTTGGGATAAAGTATGTTTTAAAAATAAAAAAAAATAGTAGTCCTGTTTTGAAAATTTTCATATGTTTACAATTGTTGGTAGGAAAATGTGATAATTATAACAACAAATTTTTGGAAGGAATTTTAAAATGTTTTTGGTAATTGTTGATGATTTTATAACAGAAGTTTCAATAAATTGTTGTGTAATGGAATACAATGGCAATACTAATTTGATTGTTATTCTTTCTAATTCTACTTCAGTTTTTTTTTTACATTTAAGTATTTATTCTGACAGTTCCAATCCTTATGTAATCTGCACCATTTAATTTGTTCCAATTTCTATACCATCTTTGAAACCTTTCAGAATGATCTATGGTAAGAAAATGCTTCTTCGGAACCTTTCGTGACTGTTGAATTCCTCTGGTTACAGGTAAACCATTATGCAGGATTATTTTACGAGTACTGTCATGACTACGAAAAAGCATTGGTTTGCTACGGAAGAGCAACGTGCGACTCCAATCTTAACTATCCAGCTGAAATGAATTACATTAACCTCAAAATGAGGATGAGTCCTCAAGGAAACTACAGCCCTCTGTTTCGTCTTGATAAACTCGTCTTCAAGTATTCAAGTGCCAACTACGTAGTGCAAATTCTTTGTCACCGAGGATTTTACTTGTATATGTAAGTTAATTATTATTAGTATAATTTTAAAGTACTTGAAAATATTTGGGGTTTATCCACTGTTATTTATTGACAGGTAATATAACGGAAGTACGGATGGTATATTTTAATTGAAAGTTGAACCACCTTTCTGAATAGGAAATGCATCGGCCATAATTTTGCCTTTTGGATCTTAACGATAGATTTCATTCACACCCCCTGACTAAGTAACAGGCTTTCTTGAAGTCTGTAAATAGTGTGTGTGCCTTCGTATTGTACGCCCACTTTTTCTGCAGTATCAGATTAATGCAAAATATCCGGTAATTAAGTGATCAGCATCTGATGATAAAAAAAATAAAAAATATTTGTAATGGACCCCGCGCCGTAGCCGCGCGGTGTGAGGCATCATGCTTTGGACTGGTGATACGGAACGCTCGCTGGTTCGAGTCTTGGGGAAAGAATTTTCTCGTGAGCTTTCGAAAAGTGTATGGGACCGGTGCCAACCCAGCATCGTGAGGAAACTGGGGAGCTACAATGGATAGCGTAATCCGGTCATGAAAACTAGCGATGGCTGGGGGTTCGTTGTGCTGACCACATGTCACCCTATATCTGGTTGGATGATCGTTCACCTCTTCTGATACCGTATTTGTAACAGATAAATACTATGCGTCTATTCACCAGCCAAATGTTGAAATAATATAACATCGATAACTGTTATTGAGTAAAAAGTCACAAATATAAGATTTAACATTCTCACTGAGGTGAGTCTTCTGGGTTACTGACATTTCACAGTTGCTTGCTGCCTCCCTTATCAAGGCAGTGAGTGCTCGTTGCCCTGATGGTAGAGGCAGCAGCACCTCTGAAATGTCGGTAATCATCCACCAGACTGCATGGTGCAACAACCCAGAATATAGCCATCTTGAATTATAAAGATGATCTATATTAAAAAGTTTTTGATGCAATAAATTATTTTTACACATTGTGAAAAATTTATTATTAACAAAAGAGCTTCGTTGTTCTTTCGAAATATGAAAATCTCTTATCAACATCATCAAACATTATATTTTATTTTCTTAGGATGGAGAAGCAGTACTTTCAAGCAATTCGAAGCCTTGCCAAAGCCATAAGAACTGACCCCTGTAATCAGATGTTGAAGGTATGTGGCATATATTTCTTTAATGGTTGTATATCTGAACATGAAAATGTTTTCCAGTTGTTGTCTTTTGTGTTTCAATACTGTGTAGTCTCGTAGGTGACTACCAATTTTTTGGAGGACTGTATCACCTTCATCTTCAGGATTAAACTGTACAACACTGCACGGTTTAACCACCACGAGAACCTGAAATCTCAACACGAAATTTTTGATTATGTGTGAGAGCTAACAGTACATTAAAAGTACAGTGTTATGATTTAACTGTTTCGTAATTTTCACCCTGAGTAATATGGTAGGCGAGTTTCCTTTGTAATTTATGGTCAGTAACATTTGATTCATCATTAGCAATTTAAATGAAAGCCATTTTGTTTTTCTTTATCCTTCACATTCAACGTTACGTTGAAATTCCAATGGCCACCCCACGTTTATAACTCAGATCAGACTTTTAACTAAAGAGTATCTTTTTTTAAATTTTTTTTTATGCTGTTGACATATTATTTTTAGTTATCCAGTAATGTTCACATAGACACATACACTCTGAATTCTTCTTCTTCTTTTATGGCTCTCCGGTCCGTTTTCGGTCCATGGCCTCCTCAACTCTCCTCTTCCATTCGGTCCTCTGTTAGGTCCGTCTGTCCGAGGCTTTGATCGAGGTTTCGAAACATCTTCCTTTTTACGGTGCAAGGTTGTTAGCCTTGCGACCAACTCCCAACCTGGAGGACCAGGGTACCTGTCTTAGTCTGACCTCTCCCCCTCGACCAATCTTGCTAGGGAGGCCCTACCAGTAGCTCTTGGGGTCACTGAAGTACTAAAGCCCCACCACCACGACAAGGTGAAGGTACCATTAAATGGGACATACACTCTGAATTACTCTATTTTAACTATTAAAATATTCTTGTTTGTGTTGCATGCATGCCTGATACCATTATTTAGTTATTATTTTTAAGTACGTGAATGTCTTTTGTGCCTGAAGATGTTCTACCCATGGAAATTCTTTGGACGAGATATATCGTACAATATATACGATCTGCTTGAAAAAATGGCTGCCGAGTACAAGGAATTGTCAGGTGGAACAGCGGAAGAAGACTTCATAGCAAAAACACTTGAGACCGTTAGGTTTCTTAAGGAAAAGAAATGTTGAAGAAATTATTAACATTGTTAATATTCCATATTCCTGTTTTGAATACAGTGGTCGGTAATTGTTTGTTACATTATGTGTATGGTTTAATTATAAAACTTTAATTTCCTTTAAACTATTTCTCCTATTTAAATGAGACAAATTATAATTGATAAGGATAAACCCATACTTGGTACAGTGTCAAAATAATTTGCTTGTGTTATTCCTACATTTAATTTTAATATCTTTGTTTGTTTTACATGTGTTTTTGTTCTGATATTATATTTGTTTCTATATTAAAAGATAGGAAATCAAAAATTTTGCCTCCCAAATTCCTAGATTTGGTTCATTTAAATATTTTCATTTGTTCTAAGAAAACTAAACATGATTAAGCTTTTAGGATTCAAAATATGACACTAATTACTTCATATTCGTTGTACTGTTCAAATTGAGAATTGTTTACTTCAGGAAGCTGACCAGTATACAGCCATGCCTGTCAATGTATGGTTTAAAGTTTAAAGTTTCAATGGCTTCCATTATACATAATTTTGCCATCCATGATATCTTGTTTTATGTGGCCATGGATGAGTGAATGTTCTGTTATTTTAATTTATTGTTTCCAGAAAACAGCATATAAATGTTGAAACTAAATAATGTATAATAAAAACATCATCATTACTTACCTTTGCTTAATTAAAAATAAATATGATTTTATATGCTTCAGTGTCAAATATGATCTTTATTGACTTTGTGCATTACCATAGCCATACTTATAATATCTTTTGAAGTCCAAAATTACTCATTTGTGCCAAGGAATATAAAAATTGGACTTCAGCAGCTTTGCTTTATGAATTGTATCCAAGAGAGTGAAGAAATTTTTATCTGGCAATAAAATAATTTGTTTGGAGTGGCCAGGAAATTCTCCAGATCATAGCCCAATAAAAATTCCTGGACGGTTTGCAAGGATATGTTGAGTAAATTATGTGACAAATGGGGGAAAAAAATGTGCAATAGAATAGAATTTATTTACAAATCTGAAATGTCACTCCCTTGAAAACTCTAAATCTCACGCCAAAGTTAATGTATAATTTTTAAAATTTGAAACTCCTCGTTTGTTCTGAAGTCTGAATTGGTATCAAAGGGCGAATAATTTAAATGTTTGTAGAAAGACATAGGAGAAAGGTTTTGTTTGAGTTTGACTTTTGTCCACATATATATATTTATTGAGACGTTTGTTGACAGTTGTGGAGGCATGTTTGTGTTTACTTGTTGGAAGAAATTACACATCAGTCTACGGACTTTGTCGTAGTTTCACTGTGAAACATGACATTTATTTGTGACAAGTGACGTGTAAATGAATGTGTACGTTTGAAAGACGGGTTTAAAATATCCGCCACGTCGTGTCGTGTTTTTAATTCCAGTGCGGTGTTTATAGCGTGTCCTTAGTCTACAATCGGGTGCAGTCGGCTGTGTTCGTGAGGACTCGAACTTGTTTTGAAGCCTTTCTTCGTCCTTCGAGGCGCACGCAGACTGTGTTGCAGTAGGTTTACTTACATCAATTCGTCAATTCGTAACGTAAACCTGAACGTTTCGTGAGAGCATTGCGACGGACAGCGTCATGCCTATTAGGAAAAGATGCAGATTTTTGTTGCAAAATATCGTCCAGAAGGTAGCACGCGAAAATAAGAGGCTCATTTCAATTTCACCTACAAATATTCACGATAATCAGTTAAGACTGATAGCGCAAAGTGGCAGATTGTCGCCACAGAGGGACAGCCAGAAAGAAAATTATTTGTCTTCCTCACATTTTATTAACAACGGTGTTTTACGCAGGAATTTTTGTACTGGTTCTTCTTCAAGAATGAGATTTGTACAGTTCTCTGGAACGAATGGTGGTCCACAAAGGCTTGGCGTCCAGTTGACTCAAGACGGTGATATAATAGACATAAGTGGTGTTGATTCGTCCATTCCCAATGGCTTGGTTCAGTTTTTACGGGCTGGACCCAAAATGCTGGAGAAGTCGAAGAGGTAAGACCAACAAGATTATTTGTTTATAAATGACTTGCAGAAGAGCTTCCACCAAGAACAAAGCAAGTATTATATTAAGCATGTTATTTTTGCATTAGTGGTTGGTATAATTGAATGTGCGTGTTTACTTGATGTATAGGATGACGAGGAGTAAGTGAGACAAGAACAAGATTCCGTATGTCTTATAGTTTGCTGTGAACCTTCCAGATGCAGTTGGTAAACATAGGATTAGAATTTATTTGCATACCATAGATCATTCATAGTACAAGCCAATGATGTGGAACGGTCTGAATATGTGCACTTGGTACAATAAAATACTGAAACAAAATTATGTTTACACATTTTAATACACTGCTTGGAAACTGTAAAGCTTGTTTTTGTTTGTGTTTGTATTAGCAACAAGTATTGTATTTGTGCTATGACGTGTTCTACATCCTAGGCTTGGATCTATGGAATGTCAATAAATTCTATTCTGTTCTGTTGTAGGGCCTAGTTTAAGATGACATTAATAGGAGTGATGATCACTAATCAGTTTCATAAAATATGCTGCAGGATTCATGAAGATTTGCCCATGACTAAAAAAAAACTCTCTTGTAATAGTGCCAGGTCACATTCTGAATTTTTTTGTGATATCCACCAAAGTTGTAAAATATTATATGGTTGGAATTTTATATCGATAAAGGCCAATTATGAACTGTTTTTATTCTCCATATGCTTTTAATGTTTATGGTGAACAAAAATGAATATGCAGGTTGCATTTGATGTCCTGGAAAGTCATTAAATGTACATGTGACAGAAGTTTGTCTCTGCATGAATTAGAATTATACTATTGTCATTCCCTTAAAGCAATAGAAAGTCTATGTAAAGGTTGGCAGCTGTTTCTGCCATATGCTTGCTGTACATAATGGGATAACCTTGGTTTCAAAGGAGGCAATGTTGGAGAATTTTCACGGTATGTGATCAGGCTGATGTTGTTTTCATTGCTTGTATTTTGAAGGTTACCGAGCAGATATCAGTACAATGCAGAATGAAGGATTTAAAATGGCAGGATGCTACAGATTATGAGCGACGTATAATAGTTTTAAAAATAAGAGAGATAATCATGCAGTATCATTATAAAAACTTATTTTGTGGTTATATAACTGTACACTTTTTATGAACTTATCAAATAGGAGTATTTTACCAGTGTAGAAATAACCAGAATTTCAGGGGATTAATTATAAATTGTCGAACTGACAATAGTGAAACTGACTGGGCAAATCCAGTTAATTTAAAACTACACATAAACTCAAATTTAATAAGAACAGGTTACTTAAGAAAACAGTGTCAATTCCCAGTTGATCTTGTGATTAGAAAGTTTGAGAAAATAAATTCTTGGAACTAGTTAAATGGTTTTTGTTAGAGATTTTACAGTTTTAATTAAATGTTTTTTCCAGGGTAGTTGCAGAAGCAAAGTCTCTGATTCCTCTGTCTGATGTTCGCCTGCTGCCACCCGTGTCATCTCCAGACAAAATCGCTTGTGTTGGACTGAACTATCAAGGTCACTGTGAGGAACAGAAACGACCTTTCCCAAAGGAACCAGTCTTCTTCTCAAAGTGGAGCAGCTGTATTGTTGGACCCAATGCTGAAATCAAATACCCATCAATCACAAATGTAAATACAGTAATCAGAAATATATTTTTATAGCCCCTACTTCTTAGTGTAGCATCATTATGGATAGTCATATTTAGTGGAAACATAGATCCTGCAAAAATAAATGCGACATAATGTAATTTCTGTGTGTCGTGGATACTGGTTACATCTTTATCTAGTTTCCGAAGTGGTTTTTTCTACCCCCTAGTCTATAGTTACATAGGTGCCACATTTTATTTCTGAATTAGCCCTTTTAAAATTTATATTATATGCCACTGGTAAACTATAGATCCATCTCCTGCAGAATAAAAGTGCAGTACTACATATATCATATATTATGTTAGTGGACACAGCTGTTTCTGTGAAACAGTGAAGTAAACACAAGTGTGTCCATGCACATTGGTACAAAGTAAACTGTGTATGTGTGCTTGCTTATTGAGGAATATCTTTGTCATTTACACTGTACAAGGTAGTTTGAACATCCCTTGAAAGGTATATCATTATCATCATCAGTATTTGTTGTGAAAACAGCCATGTTTTTTAACCATTTTTTTAGACTCCTGTGTGATGGAAATCATTTGTTCAGTAACCAGATCTTCAAATATAGAACATACAGAAGAAAACAGATTTCAGGGTTAAATAAAATCAGAATTTCAGGAATGAATTTTTAATACATGCAGTTAGATGTAGCATGATGAATTGCATGAAATTAATTTTCTTGGGTTGGGAATTATTAGTTTTTTTTTTACACGGTTGCTTGAGGCTGTAAGCATAAAATTTGCAGGTACAATCTTTCAATGGGGCTACATAGCTTCAAAAATATTGTAATTAGCTTCGGTGCTTGATGTATGGGGTTCAATTCCCAGCAAGGGCAGACTCTTTTCTTTATCATCACATCCAGACCAGCTGTGGGGCCCACTCCATCTCGCATCCAGGGGTACAGGGACTGTGGTATGAAGCTCACCACTTGGCTTTGTCTAATGTTGAGGTTAAGGATGCCCCCACTCCCTCATACATGTTCATGGTATTGTGCATAATTAAGCAGCAGGGACAGTTTTACATTAGTCTTTAAATATGCTGTTTTAACACTTCAAAATAGAACATCTAGTTGCTCTGAAATAGATAAGTATTATTTATTGTTTGCAAGGACTTCAGTTTCTGAGGCTTAGTGTCAAGCAAACTCATAAATAACAGACTTTGCTTATCTGTTTAACTGATAAGCTGTTATGAAAACAAACATGTTAGACCAAAATTGACAGCACAGATCTGTTTTCTTACAGTTATCAATATTTTATGAACTACTAATTGATGAAAAGTGAGTTATTGTTGCATGCTTCTGTATCAACTGCAGACATTGTTTAGTAGAAAATGAGGTGGGAATATAGGTAAGAGCAATGAATTATGAAAAATATTGGTGAAAATGTTCAGAGATGCATCTCTGGCATTCACATGAATAGAAGGAGGAAAACTAGAAAGATCTCTGTCAGAGCAACAGATGATGTTGAAGAAGTTCAGTTCTTCCATCTCCTGAATAAAAGTCATATTTATTACCCTTGGTTTAAAAAGTTAAATACTGTCGTACCATCTTACACGACAGGCCTAATACAAAAGCATTTTAATATTGTATAATCTGAGCCCCTTTAAATAAACTATAAATAAATAAAAATACAAATGCAGTTTTTTCAAGTTGTATAGGTAAAGCCACAAATAAACAGCTTATCTAACCGATAAGATACAGTTATGAGGAAGTGTAGAAATATCACTTTCATTTTAACTTAATATCCTAACCTAAATAAATGTTGCATTAAAGGTGTTGATGGTGTTATTTTGGGTTCAACAGGGGCCACCACTGTAAAATCTTTGGATATCACATTCAGCGTGTTTACTTTTGAGAGATAAACAGTACTTCAAGATCAGGAAGTTGAACAAAGAATTGAGTGGCATGTAAGATAAGATACTGATATGGGGAATTTGTTGAGGTTTTTGGTGATAGTCTACAGGAGCTGTTGCATATCCTAAGATTTGGGGGGGGAGGGGGGCTGTTTTGAAAATTTTAGAGCTACATTGTTTAATGTAAATTCAAACATAAATTGAACTATTAATTTTCTCATGAAACCACCTTTCAGTAACTGAATTTTATCAGGAAAATATATTTGTTTCCATGTTATCTCAGTTCTGGAGGACGGTTAGGAGCTAAAGCCAGAAATCCTCTGTCTAACACACCCTTTATTGAGGCACTGTAACAAAAGTCCCTACCCTGAGCCAAAGAATCCAATCTACAACCTCACACTCTATTTATTTAAGACCAATTTTAATATTATCCTCCCATCTATGCCCAGGTTTTCCATGCAGTCTTTTCCCTTCAGATTTGTTGACCATCTCTGTATGTGATACAGCTGTATGAAGACAAATTAAGTTAAATATTATGAAGTGCGTAACTGACTTGCAGGAACAAGTATTTTTGAATAGTTGGTAGCTGGTGAAGAGACTTTTGCTGCTTTTATGAGATGCGAGTGTTCATAAAATCATAACATTAATATAAATATCAAAAATAATAACAGTACCAACAATAATAAGTGTTGATGATAACAACAACAGTAACAAGATAAGTTGGCTCCAGTGGTAGGTCATGTGAACACCGTAATGAAATATGATGCAGTGTATTTATTCTTGACCAACTGAGAAACTATCAGTTTATCAAAAACGATTCTGCACCGTGGAATTATTTAATGATGATGACAAAAAACTAATAGTTATGTTTTTCTGCCTTCTGCAATGTAATAAATGATGAAACCTTGTTAGGTAATGAATTGTTTGTATGGAAGTAAGTCAAGGTCACAGCTTGACAGTTCAGTGTTGACATTCAGTCAGATTTCTATGTATCTAACTTGACCTAAATGAGGTTATGCAGTGTGATACATGGGCCATTACATTACTAAAACATCCTTGAACAACTTGCTTTATCATTCTGAACTTGTAACATGACAGGAAGACACGAGGAGTCAGAAGGCATATAAAAATAGAAAATACATGGTAAACATTATTCAGGCATTCTGTATTGATATTGTCTACAATAGATTATTGATACAAATGCAGTTTTTTCAAGTTGTATAGGTAAAGCCACAAATAAACAGCTTATCTAACCGATAAGATACAGTTATGAGGAAGTGTAGAAATATCACTTTCATTTTAACTTAATATCCTAACCTAAATAAATGTTGCATTAAAGGTGTTGATGGTGTTATTTTGGGTTCAACAGGGGCCACCACTGTAAAATCTTTGGATATCACATTCAGCGTGTTTACTTTTGAGAGATAAACAGTACTTCAAGATCAGGAAGTTGAACAAAGAATTGAGTGGCATGTAAGATAAGATACTGATATGGGGAATTTGTTGAGGTTTTTGGTGATAGTCTACAGGAGCTGTTGCATATCCTAAGATTTGGGGGGGGAGGGGGGCTGTTTTGAAAATTTTAGAGCTACATTGTTTAATGTAAATTCAAACATAAATTGAACTATTAATTTTCTCATGAAACCACCTTTCAGTAACTGAATTTTATCAGGAAAATATATTTGTTTCCATGTTATCTCAGTTCTGGAGGACGGTTAGGAGCTAAAGCCAGAAATCCTCTGTCTAACACACCCTTTATTGAGGCACTGTAACAAAAGTCCCTACCCTGAGCCAAAGAATCCAATCTACAACCTCACACTCTATTTATTTAAGACCAATTTTAATATTATCCTCCCATCTATGCCCAGGTTTTCCATGCAGTCTTTTCCCTTCAGATTTGTTGACCATCTCTGTATGTGATACAGCTGTATGAAGACAAATTAAGTTAAATATTATGAAGTGCGTAACTGACTTGCAGGAACAAGTATTTTTGAATAGTTGGTAGCTGGTGAAGAGACTTTTGCTGCTTTTATGAGATGCGAGTGTTCATAAAATCATAACATTAATATAAATATCAAAAATAATAACAGTACCAACAATAATAAGTGTTGATGATAACAACAACAGTAACAAGATAAGTTGGCTCCAGTGGTAGGTCATGTGAACACCGTAATGAAATATGATGCAGTGTATTTATTCTTGACCAACTGAGAAACTATCAGTTTATCAAAAACGATTCTGCACCGTGGAATTATTTAATGATGATGACAAAAAACTAATAGTTATGTTTTTCTGCCTTCTGCAATGTAATAAATGATGAAACCTTGTTAGGTAATGAATTGTTTGTATGGAAGTAAGTCAAGGTCACAGCTTGACAGTTCAGTGTTGACATTCAGTCAGATTTCTATGTATCTAACTTGACCTAAATGAGGTTATGCAGTGTGATACATGGGCCATTACATTACTAAAACATCCTTGAACAACTTGCTTTATCATTCTGAACTTGTAACATGACAGGAAGACACGAGGAGTCAGAAGGCATATAAAAATAGAAAATACATGGTAAACATTATTCAGGCATTCTGTACAGAGTCAGAAGGCATATAAAAATAGGAAATATATGGTAAACATTATTCAGGCATTCTGTATTGATATTGTCTACAATAGATTATTGATTAGCTGCTTCTTTTCCAGGAGGTCATAAGGAACAAGATTAATATTTTCAATGGCATTGAAACTGTTCAAAATACATAAATTGTATCAGTTATTCAAATTGTTTACAAGCAAAGGATATAAAAAGTAACTTTCATACTAATCTTTAATTGAATATGTGGGAAGTAATAAAATAGCAAAATTGGAGATTAATATGATGACACTTTTCTTACAAGGAGAGGAAGAGAAAATTATTTTAAAAATGTATTTTTGTGTTTGTACTGTTTATCTCTTTTTTATATGGGTAGATCTGTGACTGTGCAAATAGATGTAAAAATTACTTGAATTTCATCACTTTATTTCCAAGAACTATTAGTCAAAATATGAAATAAATCTATTGTGAGAAAATTATAATTACAAGAATGAGAATAAACTGACATATGTGGAAAGAATCAGTGAGCAGGCTAGTTAAACAACTACAGTCAAAAAGACACTGAAGAAGTTGAAATTTAAAAAGAGAAACTATCTACTCTGACTGGAACAGGTTTGTAGGTCCAAGGACTAATGATGTGTTGAATGAAAGTAAGTTAGAAAATAGGTTTGGCATTTTGTCAAAAATCTCTGTCTGCGGTATTTTCAGAAAGTACTCCTACTCTCCCAATATAAAACAGCAGAATATATTGACTGACACCTTTTAGCTGCACACTGAGTGATCTGGCACAGTAGTGACATCTGACTTGCATTTGGGAGGTATCCGGTTCATATCCTGACCCAGGAGTTGCATGTTGTTCATGGTTTTCTCAGTTCCTCCAAGAAAATCCCAGAATAACACCTTATATTACATTCTTCTGTCTTTTTGCCATGTTATTAACTGGTACATTATTCACATTTTCCATTTATAATTTTTAACTTCACTTAAAAACACTGGCATTATGTTATTCATATCTTGGTATTTCTGAATAAATTCTTGGAATTTCCAAGCTGTTAGGCTTTGTTGAGACTTAAGAGTGGTTGGTACTTCAAGTTCAGTGATATCACGAGATATGTTACTACATCAAGTGTTCGTGTGATTATATAAATAAAGATGAAACGCAGATCATTCTCTGAGAAAGACCTTGAGGGTATAATAGATAAAATAAATGCAAGGAAAAACTTGAAAGAGTGAATATGATTGTGATTAAAACAAGTTGATATGTTGTAACAAAACAACCAGCTTTTGAATCCTTTTAGATAAGTTGCCATTGGTCATCAGAAGTTTTTGAGTGGTGATCAAATATTTCAGTTTCATGTGCATAATTTGTATGGATTAACAAAAAGATTTATAAAAAATACACCGATGAAATAAGCATTTGGTAATTAAGGAATAATATTTTATGCCACAGGTATAGATAGTTTCTTTTTCTTTTAAAGGAAATTGCATTATTGTTATGCAGATGGCTGTCTTGTGGTTTGTACCACCATGCAGTCTACTGCATTATTGTTAATTCATTTTCCAAACCATTCTAGATGTGCTGAATCCTATTGTCTATTGTATGTGTGGATGAACTGCAGCTATTGCCCACACACAGCAAACATGACTGGTTAATCTCTGAAGGAATAGTTTGTGTCAACAACTCAGAAAAACAGTGCATTTTTAGTTTCTTACTTTCTCTGTTCTGGCTGTTCCCTAAGTTGGCGCTTCATCTGGCATCATTTCTGTTTTGTGCATTTTGATGAACAGGAAATACCCCCCCCCCCCCCCCACAATTATCTCTCTTTGATTCCTTAACCAGCTCTTCACTTTTTTTTTTGACATACTGCAGTACGTAGCTGAACCATCTTATTCTTGGTCATTCTATGGGCCTGGAAGTACTGATGTTCAGATGTAACCAAAACCATTGCTTTTTTTATGCGTAGTGGTAGGATTTACGTCATTAGAACATCAAGGAAAAGAAAATAGTCCTAATTTTGTTTTGATGTCACAGGCTACTTCTCCCTCTCATTCTCTCCTAGTTTAAATATAACTCACTGTCAAAACAGCTTACATTAACCTTGCTCAGACCTCAACTGCTTATTTGCAGTTCTGTATAGTCTGCTTCAACACGTGTACTGCATTTTACAAAATCATTGTGTCCACATTTGGTAGATAAATTCACATAATGCCATCTCATGTGTTGAAGAATGTTACTGAATTTGTTGAACTGCACATTGTGTAGTTTTTGTGTCAGTTATGATTTCGGAGGCCAATGTCTGAGGAAAGAAAAATTACTACTGATGATAAAGGTTGTTTTTCTTTCTTTCTTCCTTCCTTGTTTGTTTTGCTTTGGTAGTGGTGCAGCAGGAAGTTACTATCCAATTCTCATTTAGTTCTGTTGTGTGCAGTGGAAATTAGGATGTAAACAGCATCTCAGCCAAGAATTGGCACATCTTCCAGGATCTATATTATGTTTCAACAAACAAGTTATTCCTCATGCTGTCAGAGGTAGTGAGATAGGGTGTTCAGTAATTGCTGGGCCATTTCATGACTGGAAGTTCTGGAAAGAACTATACAATTTATGCTAATAAATAAATATACATTGTAGTGATTTGTGGCCATAATTTTCACAAGTATACTTTCCAGTGGCTAGCCCTTATTTTTATTTTTTCAGTGAAAATTAAACAATAACCAAAATAGCTGTCGGTATAGTGACTAGGCCATGGGATTGATGACCTTGTTCCTGGCAGGGCAGGATTTTTCTCTGCACAACAATATTCTGAGTAGCCCTTGTGTCCACCAAGCTTTCTATCCAGTGGCTACAGGGTTCTTTTCTCTGGGGTAAAGTGGCCAGGACATGAAACTAGCTTCATCTAGTGCTGAGGTTAAGAATATTTGGTGCAATACCTTCAATCCCATATGACTGAATGTCATGGTGTTAGTTAAGCAACATGGATACATTACCAGTAAGATTTAATTACTGTTTAGATAAATTAAGTAAAAGTCTATGACTAATCGCCTTGCCATGAAAGTGTATAAGGGGAACGAAGGTACAGCTCCGCACACATACAGTGCCCCACTCCTTTGCACCAGATGGAGACATGGTGTCAGCTTCATGGTCCAGTTGCTTAATAACTCTAGAAGAATGAAATTCAAACCTCGCAAAGAGATGCGGCTTGAAGTTGTGACATGCGGTAATGAGTGTCATGTATAAACTGTGTGTGTGTGTGTGTAAGATATTTTGGTGTATGTGAAACTTATGTGAAAATTGTAAGATTTGAGGTTCTCACAGCGATGAGTATGAAGATATCTGTCTTCTGGGTTGTTGCGCTGTGTAGTCTGGTTGATGTTAACCAACGTTTCTGAAGTCATACTGCCTCCATCATCAGGCAGTATGACCTCTGAAACGTTGGTGGACATCGAACAGACTACACAGCGCAACAACCCAGAAGACAGAAATCTTCCTTATGTGAAAATTATCTTCTTCTGCAGGAGCTTGACTGGGAAGTTGAATTGGCAGTTGTTATTGGAAAACGTGCACGTGACGTTCGTCCGACAGATGCAATGGATCACGTATTTGGGTTCACTGTAGCACAGGATATAACAGCCCGGGACTGGCAGAAAGGTCGAAATGGAGGACAGTGGCTCCTTGGGAAGAGCATGGATGGTTCCTGCCCTCTTGGTCCATCCTTAGTGCTGAAGGAGGTTGTGGCTGACCCCAATGCTTTGCCTATACGCTGTAAAGTGAATGGGGTAGTGAAACAGGAAAGCAATACCAATGAACTGATCCACAAGATTGACTACATTGTCTCTTACTTATCACAGTAAGTTTAGATTAGTAGCAAGTAGCTGGACTAGGGTAGCTCAGTTGGTAAAATGACTGGCTGCATATTCAGAGCCCCATGGGTCCTGACATCTATTGTATTTTCTGTTCTTGCAAAAGTTCTTGTAGGATTTAATTTTATTTATTGTATGTAACACATCCTGATTCACACAAAGTTGAACTTTTGCCCCCAGTTTCTTTTATATTACATTCCTTTACTCGGTTGATGCTGAAAGAAACATCTGCATGAGCTTTTTTGTCTGTTACTTTCAATCTAAGAAGATACCAGTTCCCCTATCCCACACTCCGACAGCTTACACATTAATTGTCTTGTACACTTTTTGCCATTTACAGACCCTGTTAGAAAGTTGGGCCATTCAGGAGAGGTTGAGCATTGTGGAATGGCATATGGCCTCTTGGTTGTTATATAGGAATAGTGTCCCACTTAACTCGGAGTCCACCTACTAGCATGCAATGTCTGTGTTCTGCATTTTAAACTAATTTCGTGGTATTTCACTCACCGTCATGCCATCATGCTGTTGTGGCAGGTTCCACATTAGGTGGGACATTACATAATTATGTTACAGTAATATTAACTAGCAGTTACGCATTTATTGGCTTTATAATTCTCACATGTTATTTTGGTTATTATAGTAATTGGTTATTTACTTCTACCATAATACATTTATTTATTCTAGCCTGTAGTACAATATTACATTTTATTATTTTCTGTTTTAAGTTGCAGCACACTACTGCCAGGAGATGTGATATTAACTGGAACACCAGCAGGTGTGGGAGTGTTCCGAAATCCCCAGGAATTCCTCAAGGTATTCAAAATAAATTTTTTCATATTCAGAAGTGAAATATTAACATTATATTAATGTTAGAATACTTACAGCCACGCAACTTTGTAGTTCTACGGCTTATTTCGAAAGCAGCGAGGGATAAAAGTAAAATAATTATTGGAGTACTTTTGTAAACTGCAACTAATATGAATATGACTTCGTCTTCTTCTGTTTAAAATGTAAGTTAATTGTCAACTGAGGGAGATCAGTAATCATGTATGTTTACCACTTTTACCTTTATCAGCCCATTGTACCCAGGCAGGGAATTTGAACTGTGATTAAGGCATTTTGTGCCATGTTGTAGCACACTGAATTACATTTATATATTAGTGAAGTGCCTCAGTTTAAATGGGCCATAAAAATATATAGATGGAATTAAGCTTTGTGTGATATGGTTTTATAATCAGTAACCTCATAATTGTTCACAATTGAAATAATCAGTTTCACATGATTTGAAGAACAGGCAGCTAAGTATTATTTTCAACTACTGATAATCATGGTACAGGGCAAAGATTTAAACTGTAGGTCTGCACTGTCAGCCATGATAGTCATCGCTGTACCATTTATGGTATCAGACTCCATCTGACAGGATATCCAACTCAAGAAACAGGTTATGACGAAATGACTTCTTTGTTGAGATTTTAGGTTCTTGTGGTGGTAGGTATGAAAACAGTTGTTTTCTACGTTGCTTTCCTGTCTCCTTCTTTAGAACAGCATATTTATACAGAAAATGTGTTTGTTTTCTGTTTCAGCCAGGAGATGTTATTGAGAGTGAAATAGAAGGCATTGGTAAACTCAAGACCACCATCATATGAGAAGTTCATATTTAATAATCAACAAAATTATCAGTGCTTGGATTCTGAATGTCAGGATGATAACAAAGAATGTTAGTAGCTGCAGCTTGTCTGCCATGATAATCATAATAGTATTTATTATATCTTGCCATATGTTGATACATGTATTATTACAACTCAGCCATTTTTTAAATTTTATCCAGGGATTTATTTTTACTTAAGATAATGAAAATTCCACAGTTAGATGGATTCACATGGCTTGGCTTTTGTTGTAGAGTGGGCAATTTTTAAGGTGGAAAAGCATGTTACATACAGTAGTAAATTGCAGGTAATGTCTACAGAAGATTGGAAGTTGAGAGACTTTAATTTTTAAAACTCTAGAATGGAAGCTTGTGGATGTACTTCAAATATTTTAAACTTGCTGCAAAAAGTGTGATGGGCAGCTGTGAGATTTTATGTGTAGTCTGTGTTGGAAGACGGAAGCACAATACAAATATTTTCTGTTTTAAAATATGTTAGAGACACATGACATTTTGAGGGCTTTATATTGGTGTTGATACTGACAATTAGTTACGCCAATACTTGCTCAAACAGCCTTTTACAAATAGACCTAGATCAGTTTATATTACACTGTACTTGTATGTCGTTATTTTGTGCAGAACAGTGGCTTGGTTGCAGATACATTATATTACTAGTCTTGCTTTTTAAGTAGCAGAACATCATTCATATGCATTTTTAATAATTTATATTGGAATAAATCATATTAGCACATAACAGGAATTGCCTTATATATTATATAAACTAGTATTTGAAACTAATAATACTTATTTTTAACTGAAAGAAATGGTGTATGGTATGGATTTATATTTCCAAGTATATGACAGAAGGTACTTGACTATTCTCATTAATAAAATTTGAAGTATATTTGTTAGTCAGTAGATGCTTATCTTCTTAGATTACGATTTTCTGCAGTCACGTTGAATACTGCCAGTTGTCTAAAAATATGTTTGACGTACATGACAAATTGGGAGATGGCTGTTCTCCTCTCTTCAGGCAACTGGGTATCATTATATTTGAACAATTTTTTATTACTTTTATTTTTGAGATTAGTCGCAATAATGAAAGTTGGTGCAATCTTTTGTAAGGTAATCCTGATTTGAAGCTTATGGCTTTTGGGGCTCTCAGGTATAATTTTGCATTTTATAAACTATCTAGCCATACTATGTTCTTATTCACTGTTCACAGTGGAAAAATTCAGCGTACCTTGAAATTTGCCTTTGTCACCCTGATTCCTCACCATGCCATATATTTACAGCATAAAATACTACTGTTGTAAGTTGGGAGGTTCCAATTCCAATCACTTTTAAAAAATAACTTCTCTTAAATTATATTCCTTGCAAAAATGCATGTAATGGGTGCATAATGGGGACATTGCCTATCCTAGCTGCATGTTTCATCTCCAAAACTATTGCTTAAATGGCTGAGTGAATACAGAATTTATAAGACCTTTTTAAGATTGAATGAATATTTAATGAAATACAAGAATAACTAATTTATAATTCTAGGTAATGTGCATAGCTTTGCAGCAATACAACAAAGAATCTAAACTCCATGCAGCAATATCCTGTTTGAGATGCTAATAGTTACTCATCTAGTCGAGAAATTGCCCACCTTTTATTGAACCTGAAGTTCATTATTGTGTAGACAAGAGACCAACACCAGTTCCTATTCAAGAGGAAATTAATCCACTTCACATTCTTCCACTCAATTTCTCTAAGCTTTGTTTTAATATCCTTTCATCTATACCAAATCTTCCAAGTGGTATCTTTCTTAATGATTTACAGTTATTTAACATGTGCAAATGTAAAATGATTTTGTTTTGTGATGTAATAAGTGTGGCATTCCAGCCTGACTTTATAATGTAAGGAAAAGGTTAAAGTTTTTTATAATTGATTACCCAAATAATGAGCAGTTGTGCATCCAATATGAATAACCGAAATGAAAGACTGCGCACGGCAGATTTTTTAAAATCAGAAGTCATGAACAGAAATTGTGTGCAGGAGGGGAAAGTGTATGCATACAGTTTTGGTGGACACATCTGGCAAGGCAACCATGGAGGTGGAAGAATATTAAGATGAATGTTAAAAAAATAAGCCAGGAGGATGATGTGTTAATTTGCATGCAGCATACAGGAAGTATTGTTCTGGGTTTCTTCATGTTAAAGTCACTGTTCGATATTATATTAAGTTTATTATTTTGTGATTGTATACAAAATTTACAGTATCTTCTTGAAATACTACACACACAGTTCAGAGGACATCACAAGTTCTTTTATATTAACTGGAACAGAATTTTTTCAAATGAGAAATTAAGTTGCCAGATTGGACAACAGTCCAATTTAAATTACTGATTACTTTACCAGCTTACTTCATAAGCATTTAAAGACATGAGATCTAATGTGGTGGGGGTGGAAGAGGTTTCTTTCTTGTGATTGGATATTCTTCTCGTGTGTGGTAAGGTTCATACGGATCATCTACGTAATATCTCCGTCTTTTCCAGTATTTTGTCACCATCTTATCCAGCAGTGTACACTGTGTTGCATTGCAGAAGACATGTTGTTTGTATCGATATTTCTGGTAAGCAGATTTTCTCCATAAATGCTTAAAACGCCCTGCACGTGTGCGGATCCAACCACCCCTGTAGAAAATAGTGTAATTTGTAAATATTAATTCTCACACAGATCAGCAAATAAGTTATTATGGAAGTATATACAGATAAAACAAAAAATATGAACATATATGCAAACAACCTTGAAGTCAACTGGTTATTTACTGCTTTTAAGCAAATTTATTCCACATTTAATTAGGAAAATTCGTGATCAAGAGACCTTTTATGTAAACCAATATTCGTTCTTGAACTAAACTTTTCCTAAGTAAGGAAACATTGCATGTTTATGTTATAACATACCAGGACAATCGAAAGAAACGCTTTACTGCTGCCTTCACAGTTTTCCTCTTGCCCTTCCTGATAGAAAACTTTGTAACTGTCCTGATCTGAGGCTGAAGTAGATTCAGAAGCCTGGGTTGTACAGCACTGAAAATTAAATTTGAATAGCAATTGTCATTCTTGATAAGCGAAAATATCCTAGAGGTCTTACATTTCAATAAGTATACTGTTAAAAACAACTACCATACCTCAACAACTGCGAACTTGTTACCGGAGCAAATGAGATGTTACAGTTTGCTATGGATGGTTGTAGTGATTGGAACTGTGAGTTTAGTGTAATATATGTTTTCTGATGAGATGTAACCACATTTGGAGGTATGTTGACACTTATTTTCTTTCCTGCTATGCAAGCAGTTCTGGCAACTGGAAATTCAGAAACGTTAAACAAAATTCTAGCAACAAATATAGATTTGAACAGATTAATGTGCTTCACATTCAAATAACTTTGGAGTTCAACACGTATTTTATGCAACAGACCTTTCCATACTGATAATATTTCAGGGTATAAGTACATGTTGTTAGGTTAGGATTGTTCTTAACCTATTAAATCGCAATCTACTTTAGTTTTACTTCCATACCAACATATGTGATAATTTTTATAGATTTCATAACATAAGAGAAAATTCAAATTAAACACAATAAAGTTTTTGCAGTATCATATAAACGACAAATTCCAAACTAACCTCCAACAATCAATCGCAGCATCGTTTTCCCTTATCATAATTTGCAATTCGCCATATTGGACGTAACGCATTTGTGTATGTCCCGGCGTTCCTACTTGGTTCGCTGCCGGTCAGGCGCTTGGAAATGTTCCGAATTGGGCTAAAATTTCCGTATCACGGATTACCACGGGTAGGTAAAATATATTTAAAAGTTTATTTTGTGATGTCAGTCTTTACTGTGGCATTAATTCTATTTTCAGTGACTGTGTTGTCCTCCACTCAGTAAAGTGCCAAGGTTGGTCGCTACCATTGAAATATGGTCAATATAAAACACTATCTCGAATTAGTTATATGAATCTGAAATTTATTCAGCCTCTCCTTACAACAGATCTTCATATGCTATTAAAATATAGTGTTTTATTTGCTTTCTTAACTGTTTTATTTATACCTCTACGTTTGTGGATTCAATTTCTTCGTTACAAAATTTCTTAATAAGATAACACTGTAATTTCCTGGAGAATTTACTACATAAAAGAACGAAATTAATAGCCAAAAATTATGGAACAGAGGTTTCGAATATGCACACTAACTTTCCTAATTAAAAACGTAACCTTATGAATTCATAGGTTTACATCATAACTATTCTAAGCATCTTTTGGTACAGGCAATTCTTGAATAGCCTTGTAGATATAAATATCAAAATTCAACAGATTTTATTTGCCATGAGTGACCTCATGAATTTACCAGTTTATAAATATTCCAAATGTTTATTAGAACAGTCAGTTCCTGAATAACCTTGCAGATAGAAATATTAAAATCCAAAAGAGTTTCTGTTTCATGATATTTTAAAACCATGGCTTTCATGTTAGCCATTACAGTCAGCATTGAATGTTACTATTGTGGTTTATGTAATCCTGAGCAGTAGTTTGATGGAGAGTTTGAAATATGTTTTGCCAAATGTGTACTTCTGTAGAGGAAATACTTGCTACTAAAATGCAGTAAGTTTTTTAAAGGAAGTTGCAAGTGATGGTCACTGAATATGGCAGTTTTCTCCAACCTGCCGACACTTTATTCCTCTTAGATAAAATTTCTTTCTAAGTACTGTGTTCTTGAAAAACTAGTCTTTGTTCTTTCTCTGATACAAAAGATTAGATTTTATACCTGTAGGAAGAAACAGGTAAAATTACATTTTTTTAACTTTTAATCTTTACATTTTTAGATAGCAGACAGGAAGATATTTTGAACTGCATGGTAGCAGATATTTCCAGAATTTAATGTACTCTTGATTTTCTCAAGAATGCAGTTCTAATTAGAAGTTATGAATAACCAGTATGAATGGATATAATTTGTATATGTTTATATTTTCAGATATCACGACATAACCCTGTGAGACTGTATCTTGTTCCTCGATGTTACGCAAGTAAATATCCTGAGTCAAATAAGAGTAGGAGGTAAATATGTCTTGATTTAAGATTTTTAGTGTAAATTATGCCATAACTGTTACAACAGAAATGAGTTCTGTACACACATTAATATGTATTTTATTTTTACATTTATATGAAATTATTACAATTGAATGACTCCGAATCATCTTACATTTTACATAAATTCATTTCACTGCCTGTGCAATAACCTTTGCTGTTGAAGTTACCTACCATTTTTCTATGCAAATGAAAGTGTTCATGTTATGATTGTTTTACTTGATCCACACAGTGCATTGGTTTGATTGGATATGAAAATATAAAGTAAATTTTTGTATTTAATTTTATCAACCAGTTTTATATGTCAGTTTTCATTGAATGTTACAAAAATTAATTCAGTTGATTTATCCAGTATTAAAGTAACCAAAAATTAAAGGCAATTTTAGTGTAAGTTCTGACAAAATTCTTATATATTAGCTCAATGTATCATATTTTTCTTTATAATTACCCAGCTTTTCGGAATGACTTAACAGGATACAAATATACTGATTCTTTCAAGAGAGATTGCTTTTGGTTAGGCTGTAAGTCAACCTTGCACTGATTTTTTCATGTTCAATTGAGATTCAACTTTGCTTGTTGTTCTAATCAGTCTGTTCCTTAACCTCACTTCCTGCCCAGCACAAGCATCATCAACATATTTCCATTTTCCTTTGATTTCTTCACCTATTCTTAAACTTCCATTGTTCTGTTAATATTTTTCACTGTAAATGTCAACAAATTTTCATGTTGTTGGTGTTCTGTCGCTGGAGGAGCCGGGTTAAACTTGTTGCAGTATTAGTATTGCTTAAAAGACAGTGAAAACTAAGTGCAAGAGGTATGGTTTAATTTGTTTACATCTGTCAGACTTTTCAGTGGTGCCAACCTTATTTTAGATAAACTAAAACTGCCTTTGTTATGTCTTTTACTTGTATTTTTTTATTTTGTAATCTGATGCATGTTTTTAATCTTTATGTAATAAATGAATTTGTGTCAACAAAAAATTGATTGTTGTCATGTTTAATGTGTTTCATTTAATTTTCTTTAAGCGGGACAGGTTTTAAATACACTGTTGGCACATTGACTGTAGCTACAGTTGCTACGTTTGCCTACGCCGCTTATGACAAAGACTTCCGAAGATGGCTGGGTGGCAATGTGCCTTACTCAGAGGAGTTCCTCAAAGTCCTGTTACAGGAAGAAGGAACTTACCTTGAACAGTTTCAGGCTGTGTATGAACGCTTAAAATCCACGTAAGTATATGGATTTTATTTCTTCTTGTGATTTTAGTGAAACACTTGTCTAGTTGTATGAGATTTGGGTTTTGTGAAATTTTACAGATGAATGTAGCCAATATACCTAATAGAGATTATAACTTTCCTCCAAACGTTTGTTTCAGGATCTATGAAAGCCTGTTTGGAAAAAAGGAAGAAAAAAGAGTGGAAGAAAAAGTGAAAGTAGAGACTAAAGAAGAACCACCAAAGAAGGAATTTAAATGTAAATGTGTAACTCATTTCAGTTTTTTGTTATTTTATTAGTGGTTTAGTAATTTTTTCTTTTATCCGGTAACAGTGTTCGTCTTGAATTTTACTACAATGTTGAAATGTATATTTTTAAATATATTACTTTGTTGCTTTGCAGTAAATCATACATAATATGTATTGGCTTAAAATCCTTCTTACCAAGCACAAGAGATTTTTAATGATGTACTAATTCTATGTGGAACAGAAAAAGTAATTAAAATTATTTGAGATTTGGGGTTCTCACATAATTAATTAATATGTTGAGACTGCTCTTCTGGATTATGATGACAAATTGAAATTAGATGGAAGTTGACATGGAAACAGTGAAATGGTGTTGGATTTCTATATAAACTTAGCGGCTAATGAAGCATTTTAAAATCTAACAAACAATTTATATGAATTTTTAATATATAGAACTGCCTGAGCTTAGGAAAATCTTTTTATTTAACAGTTTCAGCACCTGAAATTGATAAGCGACCTCCAGCTGAAAAGGATCTGAAGAAACTTCCAGAAACACATGTGAAGAACTTGGCCGATCTGGAGAGTAAAGTCTCAACTTTAGCGATAGCTGCAATTTCAGCCTATGATGATGCAGCAAATGCAGTAAGAGGTTAGTGGCACATAATTTGTTTGAGTTATAATTCTTCTGTGCTTTCCGTCTAAGTAAATATGTTTTTAAAATTATGGACATTTTGGTTAGGAAACTATTGAGAATGTTAGTACCCTGAAATTTAAAACTACGTTTTGATTTGCTCAGTTGCTCTTGACTTAAAACAACTATAAATTTAATAGAAAAAGGCATTTAGAAGGTTTTAATGTAGATTCCAAGTAATTCTTTGACATCCAAGACGTAAAGGTTTATTAGCACAAAAATTTTGTCAATGTCCTTGGACTTTTCAATTTAGTAAAATTGCAAATTTTTTTGCAGCGTGTAATTTAATACTGATCTATTAATTGAAAACTTTCTGTGAGGTTTGTGCTTCAGAATTCTGTTTGTTGCAGACTACAGTAAAAACATCTATCATATAGTTGAGAAGTCTGCAGAGACTTTGGATGCAGATGTGTGGGATAAATTGAAGAAGCTGGTAGCAAAGAAGAATGAAGCTGTTGTCAAAGCTGAAGCTAACGCTAAAGAAGCGCTGTAAGTAAATGTACTGTTTCATAAAGGTGGGGATAATTGATTACTTGTCAGAGAACTTCTGTGCTCTTTGTACTGGTTATGCCATTATATGCTCGAAGTGTTCTGCTTTTTTTATATTTCTTTCATAAAAACTTGTACTTTTTTTGGCTGATTCTTGATGACGAAACTGTTGGTTTAGGGATGTCTCACCCCTTTAGAAGGTACCTGGATTGAATCCTGAGGCCTATGAGAAATTTAATTTTCTTTTTGTGAAGTTTGAAAATGTTTTTGAGTGATTAATGCCACTCATTCTGATGTACCACTCTCATAAATATTCCTGTTTTTAGAGAAAGCATCGAGAAGATGAAGAACATCCTGAAAGGTGGTGTAGACAATGTATCCAGTGAACTGTTAGAAAAGTATAATAAGAATATTGAGAAATTGCTGGCCGCAGTTGCCGATGCAAAGAATGAATTGGGTGAAGTGAGAAGAAATGCAAGAATCACAGAGAAGTATTGGGAGAAAGTGGAAGCGGCACGGAAGTATTTTGAAGTGAGTTCTGTGTTTAATAGGCAGTACTCAGAATTTATCCATTGATGAAATTTTAATCCTGCTTTAAAAATCCACATTGTTTCGACTGACATCTATATTTAAATTGTTAAGCTAAATTATGTGGATCAGATCAAAGTTAACTGATAGCTGCTGGTCTTCAACTGTTTTACTGTTGTGGATTGAACAGTTCTGCTGCATGGAAAATTAATTTGGGCTCATCATAACAGAAGTCTTACATGCCTTAATTATGAATATTATGGTGTTATTTTGAAATGTGTGGGATGAATTATTGTAGGAGTGTCTTAAGTGCACAGAATTGGGTGATCACTGGCTGGTATACTGTCTACAGGCACATTATAATTTTGTTGACAGTGTAGGGATGAATTTTATACCAAATCAGGCTTCTTTTTTTTTTGGCACAAAGGCTAATTATTCAAACTGCTGGTACAGATGCAGATTATTTACAGTTCTTTGTTATTATTTTTTTATGTTCATATATTTTTATCTGTGGTCCTCCATTGATGACGCAGATGCTTTGAAAACATTAATTGAATGTGGTCCTCTGTAATATTCACCATCATTGATCAGATTGTCAGAATGCAAGTGTAGTATTTGTAGTCTGAAAATAGTGGAAAACTTGTTTTCACATGTTTGAAGTGCATTGATTTTTACATGTTACTTCTGTTGCAGGAAGAATTAAAAGTATTATTTCCTGGTACCAGGATTAGTGATAAACAGATAAGACTTAACGAGGAAGATCTAGACCTTTTCATTATGTATGCTGTTTCAAATGTATTGTACTATCAGAAAGAACTGAAGAAGCTAGAGGTAAGAGATTTTATAAATTAATAGATGTAAATTGTATGAATTGGGTATGTAACTCTTGTCATATAAAACCAAATTCTTCAGTTCTGATTCTCATTTAGATTTTTCTATGCTGTAAGTGGGATATATTGTTTCCAAATATCAGTATAAAAGGTGAAATGGTATGTATAAAGAGATCTTTTGAGAATTCATATTGTTCATTGTTTTCTGAAGACCATGGAACTGTAACAGATGCAGGGTTTATTTATTTTAATAATTTAGCATGGAAATGATTATGAAGACATTGGAAATATAGTTTATACTCGTAGAGCAGCAGATAGTAGACATTAAACTTTATCATATGAGAATAGGGGATTTAAAACTCTGTACTACAGTGCTATACCGCCACGGTGGTCTAGCGGTCAGAACACTAGCCTTGTAAGCCTGGGGTCCCGGGTTCAATTCCCTGTGGTGCTCAAATTTATAACTTGTGTTGGGCAAGGCCGTGGTCTAGGCATCACGGAGTTTTCCTCCGGGGGCTTCCCCGGTTTCTCCGTGGCATCCCATTCACACACAGAAGAAGGCAATGGCAAACCACTTCTGATCATCTCTGCCAAGAACGTATATGAACAGGTCCCAGTCCGAGAAAAGGATGGAAGGATCCTGTTCATATGGACCTGTCGTCAGACAGAACACTACAAATAAAAATAAAACTACAGTGCTGCTGGTCATACTTCAATTTCAGGGTGTAATATTTTAGTAGATTACGAAACCTTCCATGTGTGAGGCGGCTAAGGTCCTTCAAGGACTGTAGTCACTACCGACGATGATGATGATGACGTTTTAGTTGTATGCTGTTGTGACACGTGGCCAGCTTGACTGTATGCTGTGATTTAAGACTGATAAAGGTTAATAGGTGTGGTGTTTTAAACATTAAGAATTTAGTGTATGTGTGAATGTTGTTTTATTGGTACCTTTTCATTTGTTGTTTCCAGACAGTCGGAGAGGATCGTCTCAGAAGGGCTTTGGAAAAGGCTGGTTCGAAAGATGAAGCTGACTTGATTACTGCTAAAGTTCAAGCTCAGCTTGATAAAGAACGTAGGGAGTTGGAACTGGAATACCAGAAGAAAGTAAATTGACTATGTTACAAAACTTCTGATATGTTTCTTTATACCTCCTCCTCAGATATATTGTAGAAATTTAACAGGCGGTTGAAGTCATGCTTATGTGACATTCTAAGTGTGTCTCAATGAATTCATAAAATATAATTGCAGTTTTTCATTCATTTACAGTAGACTCCCAGTTATCTGGGGCCAGATATATCTGGTCTAAACAAAAATTAAAAATTACTTTTGAGAATCTATTTCAATTTACAGTGTTTAAAAAGAAAGGAATAAACATATATGACATTATTTAACATGTTAACATAAATCAGTTGTTGGTAAAAGCTCAAGTTTGTGACAACAAAATGTTATTGGTATCTGTTGGAATCCTTTAAAAAAACATCTGTTATGAACTATAATAAATTTTATGTAAAGTCCTTTCTGTTATTAGTAAATATACAAAATTAAAATAGTGTATACCTGCAATTAACATACATATTTGGTACATTTGCTTGTTTTTCTTTAATTTTTGTGTATTATCCAGGGTTTCGATTATCCGGCTAAATATATTTCCCAACCAACCAAGATAATTAGGCGTCTACTGTAATCTGTTTAAAAAAAACCGGTGTATTGAGGATGTGAGCTGTATCATCCATTTCAGGACAAGGTCTAGTGGTGGGGATTCTTGGGAATTTTCAGAGGCGGTAACAGATGATACATCCCCTGAATTGTGTATGTGTGTTTGGGGGAGGGCGGGGGGTTAGGTTTAAGCATGTTTGCAGTGCAGTCAAAATTGAAGGGCCACCATATTGGACTAACAGATCTGTACATCAGGTGTGTGCGCTTCATGTTATCTGCATGCTTTGGTGCCCAAGAAGTTGAGTAGCTCTGTAGTTGAGAATAAATTGATATGATGGCACTTTTGTTGACATAGAGAAAATTGCCTATATAGTTAATAACACTGTAAACTGGATTCAACGTTCTTCTGAATGTATCTGAATTGATTTGTAATTTAAACATCTTAGAAATTTTAAGTGACATTCTTTATCACAGTTTTCTGTTCCTTAGGTCCAAATATTTTGCTCTATACTTTATTTTCAAATACCTTCAGTAATTTATCTTCCCAGACTCAGAGGTCAAGTTTTATTACTTTATAATGTGGCTTGTATCTACAAAAATAATATTGTTTTAGAAATGAGTACAAAAACCTCACATTTGATGTGTTAAATGACTGCTGAATTATGGCATTGAATTTGTTTTTGTATATATTACCTTAAGTGTTGATACATGACACACATACAGCATATTTAAATTTAATTTAATTACTTCTTTGTCCATGTTTTAACAGGCATTGGAGCTCCAAATTGAGGCAGAGACTGATGTACGTCAGCAGCTGAAGATCCAAACACAAGCTCACAGTGACCATTTGGCCGATGTACTTGCTGTTAAAGAGAAGGAAATGGAACGGCACTTCAACAGAATCCTAAACGAGAGGCTAGAGCAAGAACAGTCTGCATATAAGATACAGATTGGTGCTTTGCTTGGACGTCTGAGGGGCATGGATGATGCTCTCAAATGTAATATAATTCTTAGATTAAAACAGATGTTCAGGTTTTGATCTTTCAGTTGTTTGAAAATTTATGACTGTCAAGAGTATCAGAGTCAAGGGATTAACAAAATAATTTTAGCCGAGGCAATTCTGTAACGATACAATGTTTCAGTAAATTTTAATGCATGAGCGTTGTTTTGCACACTTGTTCCAAAAATGCGATTTCTTTTTAACATATTAAATCACAGTCCTTCAGTGCAATTATCTAAATATTTCTCTCTTTTGTTTCTGTCACTTGGATTTGGACAGTTGGAGTAAGAATTCCATAGATCCCCCTCTTCCCCTTTTGTGTTTGGCAGGGGGTTTGCTTGCCCACCATTTCGGTTAGTTTTAGTTTTATTCTTGCTGAATTGTTCATAATTGGTTTATTCTATGTATAAGTTTTTCCTTGATTGATTATGTGAATCTAAAGGGTTATTTGATTTTATTTTATTTGCATTATGTATTTTTATATTTTGAGGAGAGTTATATTGTTTAAATTTGTGCCAGCAGCTGTGGTTATACACGGGACTTATGTGAATATGTTTGATTAATGGTTTTATTTTAGTTTGTTGTATTTTATTTTTTGGAAGAATTTTAAATTTGAATTCTTTTGTTTTCATTTGTAAGCTATGAAATCTTTTATGTGGACTGGGATCAGATACCCTCTTATTTATGATAATTTTTAAAGGCCTGCGTAGTATTAGTTATGTTCTTGAAACATGAAGAATTTGCTGGCAATTTATTCTGTTCAGAGTTGTTGTACAGTTGTTTATGACATGTATGATTGGGCTTGTATGTAGTGTTACAAAATGCTCTTGGGTCAGTTCAGAGCAATTGCTTTAAATTAATGTATTTTATCACCTAGGAGAATTTTATCATGAAAGCTTCTGAACTTGTACTGGTTAGTATGTACTATATGAGCTTGTTATATGGAGGATAAGGGATTTTTGGATTCCACAAAATTGCTTAGTATGTACTGTATGAGCTTATTATATGGAGGCTAAGGGATTTTTGGATTCCACAAAATTGTGATCTTGTTCAGTGCTTGTGTTTCTTGTACTTCGGTAATAAAGACGGCAAAGGACGTAAGTACTATATGTGGAATTTTTAAGATAGTTGGTAACCTAACTTATTTCAATTCTTATTTACAGCACGGGCAGAAAACGATAAGCACGCACGTCAGGCTCAGTTACTGTGGAGCGCGTGTCAGTCACTACATCGATGTCTGAAGGCAAGCAAACCTGGTGTTCCTTGGCGACAGCAGCTGCAACCCCTCAGATCGGAGATTGAAAATGTTAGCAAGGCTGCAAGTGAGTTGATAATACAGTAAGCTGGAAGGAGTTGAGTGCTGCCTGAACTCACAACATTGTAATAATAATACTTTATTGTATGTTGGAAGAAACATGGTAATTTGGGAAGTGATCAGTTTTGAAACTTTGAAATTATCACTTAGTTGATGTAAATGGATTAAATCTGTACATGAGATCAAGGTGCAAACTGTGAACTATAAAGTGTCGTCAAAAGCTTCTCAAGACAGCGTGACAAAATGCTGTGTGTATTATGTATATATATGTTGCAGTCTGTTGTAGTTGAGGCAGTGGTCTTGAAATTTCTCGCAGCATTCTGCTTTGAAGTGGTAAATTAAGCATATCATATCAGGTTTCGTTCGTAGGCAAAGCGTACAACTATAATGAACCCATCTGTGCACAAGTTGCAAAGATTTTTCTCTGTTTAACATGATTAAATTTCATACTCATTCCTTGTATAACTTAGTAATTAGAAGAATTAACTTAATTAGAGACAAAGTTAAAATGTGGTGATGCAGTAACTGATGTTAAAATCTGCATTTTGATGTTCATAAATGCTGTGCGTGCAGTCTTCTGATTACGTACGAGCTCTAGTTTGTACTTAGCAGAAAATATAATTAATGTAAAACTAATTATTTTTAACAGATACAGATGATGAGCTGGTGAAAGCCGTGCTAGCAGGCATTCCACCCGAAGCCGCGGACCGTGGCGTATATACGGAGGAAGCGATGAGGGAACGTTTTCTTAAAGTTGAGCGAGTTGCTCAAAGATTAGTCTTGATTCCTGAGCAAGGAGGAAGTCTACCTCTGTACTTCCTTTCATTTTTACAAAGTTTGTTACTTATTAAGGCAGTAAATCCCATCCCAGCAGCAGAGTTGGCAGATGAACCTGTTGAAATTGCTCAGCTTGACACATATGATATCCTGCAGAGGGCCAGGTAATACGATTATTTTTCAGTATTGTACGAGGCGCGTCCTCAAAGTAAGTTTCCCTGGGGCCGTTTACAGAAACAAAACACAATTTCATGGAAATATTTATTGCAACAGATACAGCAAGTGTCCAGCTATTTTTCAACATATTCGCCACCGGAATTGAGACATTTGTCATACCGTAGGACCAACTTTTGAATACCTGTGTCGTAGAAGTCGCCCGCCTGGGATTGGAACCACTGTGTGACAACCATCTCCGCCTCTCTGTCATTCTCAAAACGCTGACGCTGACAGGACAGGAATTTCTTGAGGTGTAGGAAAAGATGGAAATGACTGGGAGCGAGGTCCGGGCTGTAGGGTGAATGATCAAACACCTCCCAGCTGAACTCCTGCAGGAGACTCGCTGTCCGTAAGGTTTGCTAGCTGTGGGACGAGTGGGAAACTTACTTTGAGGACGCGCCTCGTATATCATATGTACACTACGCAGTTGTTCAGGACCTGAGTTGTAATGTTATGAATTCTCAGAATTGTTGTTGAATTTTTACACAGTTATCTCAACTTGCTGTAGCAATGGATAGTCATATCGGAGGCTTACGTACTACATTTCTCCACTTACAGAGTACTTGTTATTTTCTGAGGCAGAGTTCAACTCCTGTGAATAACATCGAGTGCAGTGTCGCTTGAAATACTTTGTTAAATACCTATTCATTATTTATTTTCTAAATCCAGTTTAAACCATTTGATTAAATGAATTAATTTTCCTGATGCCGCTGATGATGACCTCTTGAGGTTGAAACGCGTATGGCAATAGTGTCTTTTTTATGGTGTTAAAAGTTGTTTGTTTGCTCATTTTATATTAGAATAAGTGTATTGTTATTATTGTGGTTTGCTTTGTGTGACATCCTTTTGAAATTTCAGGTACTGGATAGACAGGGGTAATTTCAGCATGACATTACGGTACATGAATCTATTGAAGGGAGCGTCGCGTCGCGTGGCCCAGGATTGGATAAATGAGACACGAATTCTTTTAGAAACACAACAAGCAGCAAATACACTAATGGCACATGCAGCTGCTTCTGGCCTCCTGTATGTTTGAGGAAGTTTATAAAAATCTGTATATAAAAAAGAAAAGACTACACAAACAAATTGCCAAACATAAAAGTAATAAGAGTTTGCAATGTTGGTGGTGTAATGACGCGCAGTCCACCCCACCCGCCTACCTGGAGCTGATCATATCACTGCCTCATGACATTCTATTTCTGGATTCTTATCGCTGACTGGTATCGGCTGATGTGCTTTGAGTACGTGTCTTTTCAGTAAAATATGTTTGTGAAATTTTCAGACTGGGAATTTGCCGGAACTGCAGATAAACACGTACTGATGAAGTAGGTGATTTTAAACATTGATCGCGTTGTTTCTGTACATGTATGTGACAGAACGCTGCATAAGTATAAAATGTAAATTTCAGAAGCAGCGTTAATTGATGTGGAAATTTGGAAAGTTTTCTGCCACTAATTTATTTGGACTTTTTGGGTAATATTTTCTGTTTACATTTAGCACAGATTCGTCAGTACTTAAGGGATTTTACCGCATTGTACGTTCTTTCATTGCTGGCGTTACATCAGCTGTTGACTCCTTTGCATTAAATAACTTGTGGTTCTGATGTTTACTAATAAGTTAAGTGTCATTTACACAAGTGTCATTTAAATTTTGAATAAAGTATATGAAAGTTCTGTTGCGGAAAATCAAAAACTGTGATGCGTAAAGCCATGGTTTGGTTGGGGAGGACCTGTGTGCTTTGTGGTACAGTTTATGAGTTGTGTATATAGAAGTAATAAACATTCAGCGTTCACTACCAGACATCCAGTATTCCAGTACTTGGTGAAGATAATATAGACTTAGAATTCGGGACATTTGTAGGATGGGGTGCAAGGATGTTACGTATTTCACGTCGCCGCTGACGGAAAACTGTCACAACCTCGCACCACACTCGGTTACAAAGTTAGACTTTGTTACGGGATTCACGACGATAGTGAAATACATTTTTAACGTGGTACTGCCGCCTGTATGAAGAAATGTGTGGGGTGCGTTTGAATCAAACAGGATATACTTATTTGTTGCATTTCTTATTTTATTAACTTTTTAGCAAGTTCTTCACTTACATCATTGATTTTGAAAGTCTGATGCATTTATAGAAGTAGTATTTTCTTTAGTATTTGTTGCTGACATTTTGACGAGATAGGTCTAATGCTCGGTAACTGCTGTCATTATCTGTAGAGCTTCGTATAAGAAGGGAAAGGGGCCAAAGAACTCAGATGTTTGAAAATAACTCCAATGTCCCATAACCTGTAAACCGCTTATGGTAGATAGTACTACCTAGATATGTAACCACTCATTTTCATTTGATTTTTTTTTTGCCTTCATTGCGTTTTGCGCTTCATTTGTTGAAGTGTACGTCAGCTTCTTTTGATCAGAAATTTTAATCAATAAGGATTTATGATTCTGATTTGTAAGAGGTGTAATGTTGTACTTATTAAGTTATATTAGTACGGTAGTGCATATTTTTTGAATAACTACCTTGTACAAAAGCCTTTATATGTCGGTGTATGTAGAAAAGTGCCTCGTTCTATTAATACATATGCGCATACGTGTTTGAAGATGATGCAAAAGAGAAAGTGTGTGGTTTGATATCTAGGCTACTTTGCCCTACTGTTAGGATTTGTAGTAAGAGATAGAAAACAGATGTTTATAATTATCGGCCCAATAAATAACGTTATTGATGGAATAGCATTTCGTGATTTAGTGTACAGTACCCATTAGAGCCACTTTATTTAAAGCTTTGCTGGAACTTGGATAGTGTTTTAAAAATCTGATTAATTTGTTGGATTATATTTCAATTGATACTTTTCTTTCCGTGCAAGTTAAAACTTGTTCTGTCTCTCTGTCTGGTCTCATCTTGTACATTTCTGCAGTGATTGAAGAGTTGAATTTATGTATGTATGGGTAGTGAAACTATCGTATAGTACATTTGAGATGTTTTTCTTGAGAATTTTCGTGTTTCAATGTTTCAGTATTGAGTATTTATTTAATATAATTTCATTTTATAGGTGTATGGCAACGTCTTTAAACTGGTTATAGAAATGGCCTGATGATGACCAGTTATATTTAAATATGTTGCCATAACCCCGCAAGATAAAATTGTATTAAATAATATGTAAATGGGAAAACAAGGACCTAGTATTTATTATTATAACTGCACACAACGTGATGATGCAATACCAAATTCAAATCAACCCAAATTAAGTGTTGCATAAAATAAACATAATTCAAAGATACTAAATTTGTGCGTCGTAAGCATAAAAAACCTTTAATGTGATTATGTAGTACAGATGTGTACTCCTGTGACTCATGTTTTGCCATCTGTGTTTATGATCCATAAACAGCATATTTGACAAGTTTAGCGACTATTAGCGTCTCTGGATTCTGCTCATGTTTCTCACCCCCTATATTAAGTGCTAATGAGATCTTACTTTATTGATTGCCATAAAAACAATTTGTAGTACATGAGATTAAACGGACTTTAATTACGTGGCGTGATAAGAGAACGAAATATTCGTCTTTTTTATGGCAACTTCCGTTTGAAAGAAAACGCGGAACTACTGGTCAGGTGCCTTCGTTGGGTGCAAGAGCGTGACTAACGTGAAAGTGGATTTAATGGTTGTGCGTATTTGATAGCGAAAATGTGTTTTATACTTTGTAATATAGTCAGTGATGAACGAAATTACTGTAATTCCAGCCAAGGAACGAGTTTGCTGTTCCATAAGACGACTAAGGGGTAAGTGCGTACTAAGTGTTGTATTATATTGAAATTAACCTGAAAGTATTACTGTGGAAGTTTAAAGTGCTGATATTTAGCTATTTTAGTTTTAAAAGGAACGATAACTATTTCGAGGCAAAACAAATTTTTAACCTTAAAACTACGGCCGAATACAAGTACTGTACGGTTTCAGCGTTAGGGATGCCATATTGGCATGCGTATAGAAAGATGGTTGCATTTTAACCTATAAGAAGGCATCAGACCTTTTTGTAGAGTTTATAAATAGGGTGGTGTGAACTGGGTTAATTTGTATCCTGATAGGGTCAGTGAAGGGCTCTTGTGAACATAGTAATGGAACTTTGGCATGACCAGACTAGCTGAGTGACTATATTAACTTCTCAGAAAGGGCTCTGTTGTGTGAAGTTTGTTCAGATTAATTTCGTTCAGTTGTGGTTCCCACGTGTAGCCGAGAGTCTTCTGCCTTCTCCATGTTTGACTACCTCGTGACCCTGAAGGATGAGTCACAGTTACAACCCGATTTAAAGATGTAACTCTGAAACGAAAAAAGATGTGGATATGGTGGAAAGCACGGCATACAGAAGCAAACTTGAAATTTGCTTTTACAATTTACATTTAAGAGCTCAGTTTTGCTGCCGCGAGTTTATTTCATAGTTGAAAATTACTTTAAATCGTGATCTAATTGTGACGTTCTGTACATATTGCAGTTAAATTATTGTCAAATTTGAGGTTTTCGCAGAGGTGAATCAGAAGATTTCTGTCTTCTGGGTTGTTGCGCCGTGTAGTCTGGTAGATGTTTACCGACGTTTCAGAGGTCCTTGCTGCCTCCATTGCCCTGACTGTGGCGGCAGCAAGGACCTCTGAAACGTCGGTAAACATCTACCAGACTACACGGCACAACAACCCAGAATACAGCAGTCTTTAAATTATTGTCCTTGTTTGATAAAATTATACGGACTTGGAAGTCCGCGTACTTTATGATTTAAGAAACAACGCAAGTCACAAATAACAAAATTTTCAGAAAAGAACTCTTTTAGAGCGATTTATTGTTGGCTACTTCGTAGTTATCTGCAAGAAGAACATTATCTTTTTAATTGTCTGTAGGTTGTTGTAAAGACACACGTCTTACCATATCCTGTTGGTGTCTCAGTGTGTCTGAAATTTCTATCTTGATGTCCAGTTTGTGACATGTTAACATGTATTTTCTCAGTAGAATGTTTAAACGAACGTTGGTTCTGCAAGTTTAGTACATTCTGTATACAACCTAAGTGAAGTGGTTGTTACTCCTGCTACAACATCACGTAAACGCATAATAGACCTACATTTTCATATTATTGTTATAAATTGGCTATTGAAAATTTTCTCATTATTTTATAATAGAGAATTATCTTTGAATGCTCTGCACATGCCTTAAAGTGTTGAAGACGCTGTAGACGAATCTAATGAGAATTCCATCGCCATTTTACCCCCAACTAATGTTTGTGACGACTTATCAAACGAAGACTCCCCCCACCCCTTTAGACGGTGTGAGGTACTTCCTGCTTAGCCATCACTGTATTCCCTTCGGTCTATATTTTCAGCCCCAAAATATTTGTCGGAGATGTTCCTTTTGGGTAGATTGTAAATGTTTACCTCCAAGTCGTATGTTTTAATATATATAAAGAACAGGTTCAGAATTGGTTGTTGGACTCCCAGTCATGTCAGTCCCTTTATAGCACAGACACTTCTGCAGCGTTAATAATTTTTCTTGTCTTCTTTTATCGCCGTCATTTCTCTCCCTTCTTTATCCGTGTGTGGATTGAAGAGGGCTGTGGTTTGACTTGGAGGAAGAGGAGTGGGCTGAATCAGTATCAAACTAAAGCCACATTAATACTTTCTTACGTATTTCTTGATCAGTCTTTTTCATAGCATACGAACATAAAGAGCCACGGTGGTCTAGCGGTTAGAACACTGGCCTTGTAATCCTGGGGGTCTCGGGTTCGATTCCCGGCGGTGCCCGAATTTATAACTTGTGTTGGGCAAGGCCGTGGTCTAGGCAACACGGAGTTTTCCTCCGTGGCATCCCAACAAATACTCCATTCACACACAGAAGAAGGCAATGGCAAACCACTTCTGGATCATCTGCCAAGAACGTATATGAACAGGTCCCAGTACGAGAAAAGGATGGAAGGATCCTGTTCATATGGACCTAGCGTCAGACAGAACACTAAATAATAATAATAATAATAATAACGAACATAACCAAAATCAATCTCCATCAAAACTATGAAGGTGAAATGAGATTATTTTACGTCGCGTCCAGTAGCTCTAAATATATAACGCTAAATGACAAGGTGATAAGTGACTTGTGGAAGGAGGTGGTCGTAATGTAATTTAGCTACCATCCCGGCATTTGGGTGAAGGGTCTGAGGAAAATTACGAAAACTTCGGTCAGGATGCCGTTTATCACAGACGAGTTTAAAACAATTGTAAAACTTTAGCGCTATAATAACCTGTAACGTCACTCCTCTTAGGTTTAACCAAATTGTGTTCATCCCTTGAAGTGAGGGTCAAATTTGACATTTGCAGACACATCCGGAAAAAATTTGTAATTTTTATATATTTTAATCTCTGCGCTTTTAAATAGCCGAGAAGAATATCTGAATGTTAGCAAGCAGTTTCCGAATTTAGCCTGATATTTATTTCTCAGTGAGTGAATTTTTAATTTGTTTCATAGGCCAAGAGTTTTTGAATTTACAACATTTTTATAGTGCTTCTTAAGTACCTTTATATTATCAGTTAGCGATGCAGTCTCCTCACGAGACATGGACGTGTATATATATATATATATATATATACACACACAGTAATTTTGTAAACTTTGTAATGTTATGAAATATGATCTTCTAATTTTTTAAAATAAGCCATTTGATGACGTAAGTGTGTATTTTTGGAATATATATAGCGTTGAACTTTGTGAATCGTTTTGAATCACCTAATTTTGCTGGGATAGTAAGTCATGGAGTCTATCCAGAAGGTGAAGGCGGTTGCATTGCACACGCTGTTAACACGTGTTTATCAGCTACAATTTACGTTTCATCTAAACCTCCGTGGTGGAACTCGAGAATCCTGTCATTACTCTTTGGAGTCAGGATAAAAAAAGAGCGTAGGTTGAAATCCTGGCCATATATAGAGCAATATACAATGTCGACGTATTGTATCCTGACCTCTCACTGCCACCTTAATCCTAACGGCTACCTATCCAGGGCCCAGACAAAGTGCTTATAAGAAAACACCGTCGCCTTAAAATTGGTTTTACTACTATCAGTTTGAAAGAAGTGTCTTCATTTGACACCTCTTCCTGTCTGCTCAGCAAAGTAGGCACATTTCTCTTCTGAGTGCGGAGGAAGGGCTATAACGAGCTACACGTGTCTGTCTGTCCGTCCCAGCTTTAGTTGTGTCAGTGTATAGTTTGGGAATGCTCGAAATTATTTGTGGTTAAGAGGAAATGAGTAAGAGGACGACCCAAAGAGCCAAGGATGTAAATTCATTTCTAAACTGACAGAACTCATAATCTAATGAAATAGAAGCGATGGGCTGGATGTATGGCACGTATGGGGAGACGAGAAATGTACTCAGAATTTTAATTTGAGTAGCTGGATGAAAGAGACCACTTGAGAGACCTAGACGTCCGTGACAAAAATGGCAAAAGCGTGGATTGGATTTATCTGGCTCGGAATAAAGTGACAAAAATGGTAAAAGTGTGGATTGGATTTATCTGGCTCGGAATAATATTAGACGGTGAGCTTTTATGAACACTGTAATGGAATTTCTTGTTACATTAAAGCTTATAATTTGTTGATCACCTGAGCAAATATAGTTTTTTTTGTGCAGTTTAGTAATGTTTTTAATGTACTCTGGCCTGAGCTTTTCCCTTCTAGGCTTGCCTGCCCTGCCGTTAGCTTCTTCGT